ATATATATATATATATATATATATATATATATATATATATATATATATATATATATATATATATATATATATATATATATATATATATATATATACACACACACACACACACAAACATATGCACTAAGATTGATATCTGATCAAATGTGGGAAATGCATTAATATTTACATTTTTGTGAATTAAATTGTATGCCTTATAGAACTGTTAAATATGATTAGCAAAATGTGTAACCATTCTTTTTTGATAGGCAAATGTGAATTAAACAGCATCTTCTTAGTGAAATTTGCCTTATGTCAAGAGTTCAATCGAAAAGACCAAACATGTGACCGAAAGGGAAAACAAGCCTTTCTTTGAAGAAAAAGGAAGACAATGATAATTAAGAATAATAATAAAGAAAAATAAAAGTGAGAAAAATCAAGAAGAAAATTTCTCTCACAACATATTATTTTTCATAAACATCTATCTGCATGGAAATCATATGATATGCAAGTGCACTAAAAGCATATTTAATTAGCTTAGTGCTTCGTCTTAATTATTAATTAGGCAATTATGTTAGGCACCGAAGCATGCACAGCCTGGAATGGTGTGTGACATGAATACTTGCCACAGGCCCGCTTTTCTTTATCCAATCGACATTCTTTGGCATTAACACTGAGGACCATAAAATATGCACGACTTGATAGATTATCTAATCGATACTTCATATCTGACTGATTTGATCCACCATTTGAATCTGAGTTGTCCAATTAGGAGGTCTCATGATGGGCCTCTTCATCCAATGAGAGAGCTTTTTTGGTGGAGAAGGGCCTATCTCTCCATGTGATCTTATAGTCAATGAACCTGTCTCATATTTTCTTGGTGGAGATGATCCTGTTCTTGGACTATCGTCATCCAAGGACATTCTCACCTTTAAGAATCAGTAGACTTTTTTTGTTTTGTAGCGTTCGGTAAAAGAATTAGAATGACAAAACAATTAAAGTGAGATAGAAAAGGAGGCAGGCAAAACAATTTCATGTCAAGCTTAATGAAAATGGGGCCAACAAAATTAACCAAGGACCGATTTGTTGGAATTATTTGGCTCGCAGTCCCCATCAAATACACCTCCCAAGTCCTTCTCACCTAACTCACACATGAAAGAAAGACCTTCTATTAGGAGAGGCTCCACTTTGTTTATCGACACAGAAGACTCCAAGAAAAAGCTACCTATTGGTGTGACCCCATTGTTTTATGGAGGACAGCATTCCCACTCTCACAACTATGTGGCTTCTTTGACTGCCATGGGATATTAATTATTTGGTAGTACTCGACCAAACCATATCTTTCGGAGACCCAAGCTTTGACTACGTAGGAAACCAATACTTCATCCATTCTCTTTCATTAGGTCATATTCCATCTCTCTTTCCCTAGATTGAGTCTAACACACACCACATTTACTGTGAACACTGAACTCATTTTACTGCTCTCTGTATGTGTTGTGTTTGGTTGAGATGGAATACCAAGACATGGTGAGGTATGTGTCGGCGGGCGTAGTTGGAAATGTTTATGGCATCCGAAGGGACCAACGTGGGAATGAGGCAATCGCATGCATGCACGCATGCATGCTTGGTGTTCCCGTGGGAAAGAGAATAAGGGCGCCATGTCCTTGTGGTTCTCCTATCGCCCATGGCTGTAGTTGCGTTGTGGAAGACGACTGCATCATTGTGTTCCCTAGCGTGCCATTTAGAACGTGAAGTGCAACCCGCTTCGGTTCACTCGGAATGTGTTCTGTTTTCTTTTAGGCATTTATTATTTGATATATTTAATTCGAATTACAATGTAAAAACGAATTATTTAATTGAATTTAGAGTGCTTTTGCTGGTTTGGGTGAACTCGACGTCGGTGGCTGATTTGATGACGAGCTCGTGAGCCGAACTGGCCGTCACCGGCCACTGAGCGTCCCCGTAAGAGAAGGCGCTCACGTGGGGCCCCCTCCTGAACCCTATCTTTGACCCTTCCGCTCGCCATCATATGGTTCTCGATTATGCACATCCGACAAGGTGCGGGATTTCCTGTCTGTACCGAATCAGAGAACAGGCGCTCCGGCTCACGAAAGCACTCTATCCACGTCAATTTTCTGGGGATTCCGTGTGCGCTGATCTGGCACCGACACGGATTTCTGAAGCCTCCGAGGTGGGATCGACAGGGGATCGGTCACGTCACAACACGTAATCGCCACCAGGGACGGTCCTCTTCAAACTCCACGTCGTTTACAGGGGCATGCTCGTCATTATATGACGTACAACGGGCCATCGGAGCCACGTCGGCCGTTTGGCGGCGATATGGTGGCCCACCGATGTGGCTCATCGCCACGGGGACCGTGTCGGCATCGCGCTCCTTAACCTGCCCAGCGCAAACTCTACGAGCGTTCTCGTACCCACTCATTTACACACGCGGCAGTCAGTGGGGTCCACAATGGGGCCCCGCGATTTCCTCTCAGGGTCGACCGACACAGGAAAGGCAAAGCGTACCGTTACGACATGCGCTCCCCTCTTTAAGAGGTATGTGCTGCTAATTAAATGAGCTGGTGACACAAAAACGCGGACCGCTTCATGATTGCCAACTTTTCTCTTCCTCCGGTGGCCGGAGAGATGGAAGTGGAATTCTATCTCAACATCATATGTGCTCCGTAACGCATGATGGTAGAGTTAAAAGAACTGTTTGACTGGGAACATCTTTTCTCTGGAGCAACGAGGTAGACAACCTACTGCATTGACTGCGACAAGGCTGTGGAGGTTTCGAGTTGTCTGGTGGCACAAAGCACTTGGTTTTATTGTCCTCTTTTTCGTGCCATCTTCTGTAGAGAAACCAAAAGTACAGTACAGCAACAGTTTGGGAATCGTATGCATGTGAGATACGTCGTTTAATATGTCACCTTGTACTCTTCGTTTGCTCAAAACTCGGCTTTTCTTTCCACCCTTGCGTGTTGGGTTCATATTGTGTTTCCCCTTACCAAAAGCTTACGCCTGGAAGAAGCTCATCCACACTCTGCACAATCTGCTTGTTAATTCTCTGCATCATTACGTAAGTTTAAGTGGAGCCTATGCTCGCTTTGATGTCAGCTTTCCCAATATCTTTTTCCTACAGCCATACATACATATCACCATTCTTAGGACAACAGTATATTTATTTTTTTTGGAAAAATAATAATTTAGATCCAAAAAAATTATTCTTGTATTATTTCACAGTGGGAACATCCAAAATTCTGCTTAAGTTTTTTTTTCTTTTTGAACATTATTAATGCCAAATCATAAAAGGATTTTTTTTTCCTTACCTCCTCTCCTTGTGTGACCCAATGCACTCGAGCGTTTACATTTGTCCCACAAATCCGCCTGAACTCACGGTTGCATTGAAACGATTTTGTCATCTATACAAAACAAGAACGTACTATTTTATGATTTATTTATCTATAAGATTATTTTTTATTCATTTATAAAAATTATATTTATTATAAATTAGGCCATATAAATTTTTTAAGATTATATTTATTTATTTTATTTTTTAATATAAAATTAAAAAATATTCACTTTTGAATAAATATTTAAAAATATTAAAAGATAATATTTAATAGATTTTTTTAATATAAATTTACTAAAAATATAATTTTTATTTATCAAATACTCAAAAATATTTTATAATTATATATTTATTCAAATCTTTTTCTTCATTTACATATTAAAAATATAAATATATTTCCAAACACAGTAATAATGGATCTGGAGTGATATGGGCAATGCAATAAATATATTGTGACATAAACAGCTTGATTGGATTGATATTTATATTGATAAGTAGGGAATTTTGTGTTAACTGTTGTGGCATGCCTCGAAAAGTAGCACAAGAAGTTTGTTAGATCTGCTACATTTGTTTCTGGTTTCTTTATGATATATGGTTATTATATTCGACGGTCATGGAGTGACAGTCTCGGGCATTGCTGGGATTGGTAAAACCTCAAGTGCTGTCGGAAACTAGATTACTGTTCTCATTAGTTACCACTATATTAGTGCTGTTGGCGACGCGGATCTCATCTAAGCGATGGAGGAGAGGCTCGTGAGAGATTGAGAAAGAAGAGAGCAGCAGTGAGAAAGAGAGAGAGATAGAGAAGGAACGCCGGCTAGTCTCTTGTGTCCTCTGCTATGTTGTTCTCGCCGTTTAATTAGCGTGGAAGAAAGAGGGTCACGACGATATTTGGAGGAGGGTTCGAAGAACCGGGGATGGTGATGGAGGAATGCGGAGCTCCTGAGATCTAAAGCTGGGATTTTTCTTGTCCTCCCTCCCGTTCCCATGATAAAGATTCCTCCTTGAATCTACTCATGCCGTTGGTTTTGCGTTCCCGTGAGATCTGAACCAACGTTGGCGACGCGATCTTGCGCACTTTACTGAACCCGAACTGAGGTAGGAGAATTCATTCTTTACAAAAGTTCCCTTTCCATGGCTTTTAATGTTGTTCTGGGATGCATGGCTGGTCAGCCAATCTCCCCATTCCCTCCTTTCCGATCCTTGCAATCCTCATCAACAAACACGTTGTTCGGCTTTTAGGTGGAAAAGAGTGATGCGTTCTAGATCTGTTTATGCTTTTATTTTCTGATGAAATCTTAATATGGGTTTTTGCTGAATCCCAGTTGGGGCAGGGAAGAAGACGATGTCGAGACCGCTCTACCGTGGTTTTTCCAGTGGCGGAAGGGGCAGTGGCTGCGCCGGCCTTGACTCGTTTGATGTGAGCTATCAAACAAAGGAATTGGGGGAGAATGGGTTCGGCTACGAGCTCATGAACCCTGCTGGGATAAATCGAGCCCGGCAAAACCTCATTTTTACCATCCTAAAGCTGGGTCTAGTCGTCTTTATCGTACTTGCGCTGTCCGGCTCCCTTTATTGGGCCATCTCCATCTCCACCTCCTCTCCAAGCAGCATCTACCATGGCTTCCGGCGTCTCCAGGAACAGGTTGTCTCTGATCTCACGGAGATCGGGGAGCTGTCACTTGGAATTTCACGGTTGAAGGAGTTGGAATTCTGCCCGCCTGAGTATGAGAATTATGCACCTTGTTATAACAATGTCTCGGAGAACTTTGATTTGGCAGATCCCTCGGTGCCGATTGAGTATGAGCGAAAATGTGTACCTGACACCGAGATGCATTGTTTAATTCTTCCTCCAAGGAACTATAGAATACCATTGAGGTGGCCAAGCGGGAGGGACTTCATCTGGAAGGAGAATGTCAAGATCACTGGGCAAGAGTTCTCCTCTGGGAGCTTAACCAAAAGGTAGAGTGGATTTATTTGATTCCTTTTTGTAATTTGCTTTGATTGTAACTTGATTCTATTTGGGACATGTAACTGATAAGCTTTGTATTCGTAGAATGATGGTAGAGGAAGAGCAGATCTCTTTCCGGTCTGGTTCCCTCATGGTTGACGGTGTAGAAGATTATACACATCAAATAGCAGAGATGATTGGGTTGCGGAATGAATCTAATTTCATTGAGGCTGGGGTCAGTGCCATTCTTTTCACTGTATGAGCGCTAATTATTCATTTATCTGGGTGGGCTACTCTACTACTTTTGGACATCAACGGGAGACTGAAATAAAGAAAAAAAAAATGAATATATTGTACACAAGTTCATCATTGAACTTCTTCAGTCGATGGCATCAATAAGTTAAGGTCATTCTAGCTATAAATTTTGGGCTTTTTCAGATGAAAAATATTCCATGCTCCCGTGATAAGTACAAATCTGAAGTTTTTTCTAATATATTTAATAATCTTATATGCATGACAGATAAAAATGTGTTAGTATCTTCAAACTTTAACATGTCATTGATACCTTTAGTGTTCTATAGAAGTAGAGCAATAGTATTCAGTTTCTCTATAAATTATTATAGCTCTATGCTTAAAACAATTCTCCTTTCTGCTCATTTCTTATGTTCAACTCATTCTCAAAAGAGTTGGTGTTTGGTAAGGATCATTGGATGGCTTTTTAATTAAACTATTGCCTGCAAGGGTGAAGCAACTGTGAGCTAAGTTAACTTTATCTATCTTAAACATGGCACTAAAGCATTTCTCATTCTGCATCATCAGTCCACTTCAGATTTCAGGTTTAATCATGTGCAAGCAGAAAGTCTGAAGGATAAATTTACAGTCACAATATACACTTCTATTAAATCTATACTCTCAAGGCATGTGCTTTTTTTCAAATTACGAAATGTTCTTCTAATTGCTTTTTCTGTTTTACTTTCTTCAGTTTATACCTTCTAGCTTAACTTTAAATTAATTTGTGCTCAAAATATAACTTCAATCAGTAATTATCTTCAACTTTTCCCCTGTTTTAATATATAATTTGATGTTTCTAACACTAGTTATGCTTCTTGTTTGTCATTATGGTAGCATTTATTATAGTTTTTGAAGCTGTTTATTTAGATATCATTGACATGTTAATGTTAACTAAATGCTCCAGGTAAGAACTGTCCTGGACATAGGGTGCGGTTTTGGCAGCTTTGGAGCACATCTCTTCTCAAAGCAGCTCTTGACCATGTGCATTGCAACTTATGAGGTATCGGGTAGTCAAGTTCAACTCACCCTTGAGAGAGGCATTCCTGCCATGATTGGTTCATTTTCATCAAGACAGTTGCCATATCCATACCTTTCTTTTGATATGTTACACTGTGCAAGATGTGGAATTGAGTGGGAGAAAAACGGTCAGTACCAGTTAATTATATTTGCCTTATTGAGAACTACCGAGAACTTGCTATATTATTTCTCTGTCTTCTGTTTCTCTTGAAGTTGATGGGGGTCAACTTGGTCTAGTAATAGAAGGCAGAGAAATAGAAGACATATCCCAGTAACATTGGATCCTAGAAAACTTCATTATGACTGAAAACTTTACATACAATATTAGTCTTTTGTATTGTAATGCATGTTTCTTTTCTCTATAAGCATTCGATTTGGTTGCTAAATAGGATGATATGATGACAGATGGCATTTTCTTAGTCGAAGTTGACAGACTTTTGAGACCTGGGGGTTATTTTGTCTGGACTTCACAAATAAATACTCATAGATCTCTGCGTGATAAAGAAAATCAAAAGAAGTGGTCAATAATTCACGAATTTGCTGAAAGCCTTTGCTGGGATATGTTGTCACAGCAAGATGAAACAATTGTCTGGAAGAAGACCAGCAGAAGGAAATGTTACAGTTCTAGGTATTGACTCCTCTAAATCCATTCTTTGTGTATTGCCCATATCATTAATTCACAGGACAAATCTAATTCTAGTCCCTTAGTTAGAAAGTGATTTAAGGATCCAAACAATTGATAGTATAATATCTTTTATTTTACAGGAAGGCTGGACCTGCAGTTTGTGGTAAAAGCCTTGATGTTGAATCTCCATATTACCAACCACTGAATCCCTGCATAGCAGGGATGAGAAGTCCACGGTGGATTCCCATCGAGCATCGTACACCCTGGCCTTCTCGAGCTAGACTGAATTCAACTGAACTTGATATATATGGTAAATATAAGACCCACCTGATGAATTTACTTAATTGCAACAAGATCAATATATCTTATCATCTATATATGCAAATTTTCCTCTAAAACTTCTTCTGAGCAGGTGTACACCCTGAGGACTTTGCTGAGGATGCTGCAAGTTGGAGTTCAGCGATTCAAAGTTATTGGTCACTTCTTTCGCCTCTTATATTCTCAGATCATCCTAAGAGACCCGGTGATGAGGACCCCTCTCCACCCTTTAACATGCTCAGAAATGTCCTTGACATGAATGCTCATTTTGGTGGCTTTAATGCTGCTTTGTTGGATGCTGGGAAATCTGTGTGGGTGATGAATGTTGTGCCAGCAAATGGCCCCAACTATCTCCCTTTGATTTTTGACAGGGGGTTTATTGGTGTTCAGCATGATTGGTATGTGACTTGGATCCATTGATATTTTCTTTCTTCTGCATTATTTGCAGCCTCTGTCTTGTACATTTTTGCTGATATTTGCCTGTGGTAATGCATAAATATCCTAAAACCCTTTCTCCTGTCCTTTAGATTTGATGATAATATGTTTTCGGGTACAAATCACTATTGCTGTCTTCCTGTGTTCATTGGAAAGGAATACTAGGATCGATGAATGTTAAATTACTGCAAATATTGATCTCTTCTTTTCCTTTCTTACAGTTTTCCTTGAATAAACATATTCAGTATGTGATGTTTTTTTCAGTATGTCTCTTAAGCATAAATTTAGACCTTTTACTTTCTTTGTGGTCCAGAAAATTTATTATCAATCCCTATGAACAATCACCAGATTCATGTGATAATTTCTGTAATTATACATCCTTTTTGCAATCATTCATGTCTGATCCTATGTTATTAAAGTGTGACTCGGGCATTATAAGGCTTCATCTTACTACGGAAGTTCTACATTTCAAGTTTGTCACTTGTTTAAATTCTGTTTATTCTACCGTGTTGATTATGGGAATAGCTGATGGATACCCATATAATTAATCTTCGACGCAGCACTTATAATTACCTTATCTTGTCAACAGTCTCATTTATCTAATCAAGGCCACTAAATTTTGTTAGGTGTGAAGCATTTCCAGCATATCCAAGAACTTATGATATGGTGCATGCTGAAGGTTTGCTATCTCTCGAGACTCATCAAAAGCATAGGTGTTCAATTCTCGACATATTCTTAGAGATCGATCGCATTCTGCGACCTGAGGTATGTAACATTTTCTTCCTCGTGGAACTTATTTTATGTGCTAGCCAATATTGAAATGCAGATTGCAATTTACCTTTGAAAAAATATTTTCATAGAAAAAAGTTCCGAACTTCTGGAATTTCAGTCAGGACAGTATGATATCATTAACCTATCCTGCATTTGTCACACATGTGAGGATAAGATGATGTGTGGTGCACAAGACTGTATATCTCTGTTAAATTTAGTTATGGGGTTTCTATAGTTCAATATCAACTATCTGTCTGTTAATTTGGATTTAATAGGGAATATGAAAACAACATATTTGTATTACCTTAATAGAAAAAAAAATTAATATAAACATTTCTCTAGTAACATATTTTGTCATTTTTTCATTTCTCTATATTTTCTAAATCAACCCTTATAATATGGAACACAAGCCCCTCTTCTTTGCGGATATATGATTTGGGTTATAGGCCAGGACATATACAAGCCCTTTGCTTGTCTCGACTTTCTACGGTTTGGATTTTAGGCATGCAGCTCTTTGGAGTTTTAGACTCGATGGTAATTAATTACAAACACCTCATTGAGTAGACCAGTCTCCATGGATGTAGGCCGGTCCATTCTTCTACCTTTGAGAACCCCCCCGCATGACAAGCTAGAATATATTGTTTTGCTTCTTTCATTCTTTATTCATGTTCAAGATCTACGCCATGCACATCTGCTGATGTGGAATTAGCTAACTGCATATCACACCTTGAAGTTTGCTCTATGGATATCAGTGATAAAATCTTTGATAATGATAAATGATGGCCCATGGTAGATAGAAAATATACTTCATCATGACCTGCTAATGCCTTTTGTTATGTTTACTCCTAGTTGCTGATTAAGGATCAGGTCATTGATTCTGAACTTATAACAAATGTCATTATTGTGCTATTCATCGATGATCGACTCCTTATAATAAAGTCGTTTCATATTTTTTTTCCAACTAACAATAAGAGAATTGTGCTATATCTGATGCAGGGTTGGATAATGATTCGCGATACGGCACATCTTGTTGAAACTGCAAGAACTGTGATAACACAGCTGCGATGGGATGCCCGCTTGATGGAGCTCGACAGTAGCAGCGACGAGAAGCTCCTCGTTTGTCAGAAGCCATTCTTTAGGAAACAGCAGTAACTCATACGATCACAACGTTTTAAACTGATTTATTATTTGTAGATGGTGGTTTCCATAAGATCCTATCATGGAAAGGTAAAAGATCAAAGCAAAGATTCTTCAACCAATGTTATGTCGTACTCCTGTGGAACCGCAAGGTTGCGTGGGCAATGTAATTACCCAATAAATCTACATCAGATCAGATAGCATGTGGTAGCCCAAGATGGCAGTGTTCTTTATAAAGCTATGAAGAGAAGACTAAAAAGTTCTTTTGCCAGAGAGCATATATATGTTTCAAAGCAGAGCATGACTGAGATATTATTCTTTTTTCTCTCATAAGATTTTTGTTTGAAGCATCACCTCGTCTTCTATTTGTACATCACATATAACTCCATGGTTACTGCTTGGTATTGAGAGGACAGAAGAAAAGAAAAGAACACAATGCATTCTTTCATGGCCTATGTTCTGATTTACCAGAGGATTGAAGCCTGATGGTTTATTCTATACTGCTCATGCTTCTCTATCAGCAACTGTTACTTTCTTGAGTGAAATCCAAGTAGTCATCCATCTAAATTTAGGTTGAACTTTGTCATCCAACAAACTTGGTCTTTGAGTTGCAGTTGAGCTCAAGAGATCTTGTTTAAGGGTATGACTGAGTTCAATTTATAGCTAAAAGAGGAAATCTTCAAATAAAATTAAAAATGAAAAAAAGTATTTTAAAAAATAACACAAACAAGAAAAATGGCAAAAAAGGAACATGCAAAAATAACATCATCATCATTGATCAAGATAAACTTGGTGGACAGCTTCCAATCACAAAAGAAAAGAACCTTGAGTTTAGCAGGAACATGAAAGGAATTGTGAGAAATGTGTTTGTCACTCAGTACATGAAGTTGAACTATGATGACTTCTCTGCTTCTGCAGCTTTCTGCTCCTCTTGCTTCTTCCTCAGGGACGGAGGTGGCCTGACCACGATACTCTTCTTCCATTTCCTGTCAAGCTTCCTTGACAATCTTTTGTTTATCCCCTCTTCAATCTCCCTCTCTCTTTTCACCGTCAGCATTCGAGCAATCTACAAGGGATTTAGAAACACACACTCCATGAGGATGCAGTTGCCGTGACATTCCAAACTTCATCTTTCAATCAACAAACGGGAAGAAAAAAATAGGAAAAAGGAAAAATATTTTGACTATCAACAGAGAAACAAACGCCAAGGAGAAGAAAAGGAGTACCCTTTTGCGCATGCGTCCGAACTCGCTGGATTTGAACTCGTTCCGCGCAGATTTCTGGAGCCGGAGCATGAGGAGCTCGCCTTTGAGGTCGATCACCTCCTCGTTGATCTCCTCCGTCGTCTTCGCCCGTATCCCCTTCATCTCCTCCTCCCTCTTCGCCATCCTCACCACCATCCGTCCGCCGCCGGCCCCCCCGCGAGACGACACCGGGACCCCGGCCCCAATCCGGATTCCACGGAACGAAGACGCCCTTGACGACGAAAGTGAAGGTGAAATCCTAAGATAGGTGAAGGAAGCGAGGACGTGATGCGATGAGCAGGAGGGCGGCGGCGACGACACTCCCAGCGCCAACATCTTCCTTCCTCTCCCTTCCGGTTCGCTCCCTCACCACACTGCGTTTTCGGATATGGAGATAACGATCCTTTTTACAGAAAAGGGGCTACCACTTTATATATTGGCATTTTTAGAGGTTTGACCGAGATCCGACCCATTAAGGCAAACGAGTCCATTCCGAGCCCAGCAAATGAATGACGCAAAGCTCGAACAATGTTGGACTCAGATATGAACACATCGATCGACACTCCCACTCCTAATTGGTCGAATCACATTTCATAGATCAAAATAGTGAAATCAATGTTCCGAAGCACGTGATAAATGAGTTTAGAAACGGCGAGGTGAAGAGCGTACGGAACTAATAATTCATCGACAACTGAATACTTCCAAAATTAATGTTCATGAAATATATCTTTCGGATTATTTACACACAATAAAGCAATATATAAACATAATAAAACTGTGATATCTTCTTGCTTTTGAGAAATTTGTGGCCTCCCTCTGCTAATAATATTTGAAATTTATAAACCGTACATGTCCTTTGTTATTTTACATGTATATAGTGACCGCACACGTGTTTCACGTGTCGGCTTAATCATGACTTGTTGAGAATAATGTAGTGGCGAAGGTAGGAATGGTAACGAATAGAGTTACCGGGCAACCATTCGGATATATATATATATATATATATATATATATATATATATATATATATATATATATATATATATATATATATATATATATATATATATTCTTATTCAGATTGGTTTTTTTAATTGAATTTACTTCGTTCTTGATTCGATTAAAATGTGTTTAAATATGTAATACAAAAATAAAAAAAGGAAAAGGAAAAAGGATTTACTGATTATTTTAGATAATAAAAGAGGCCTTTGGAAAAACTATATTGCCTCGGCCTTTGCTAAAAAATATGGTGGCAATGAAAGCCTTCACGGAAGCGTGGAAACGGTGACCCAAGAGACAGCCGCGTGAGGAGAGAAGAGGCGGCGATGGAGTCCGTCGCTCTCTCCACCGTCTCGCTGCTCGCCTTCTCCAAAACCACCCTCAGGATCTCCCGCAAGCGACACCTCAGCCGGCTGCTCCTTCCGCCTAGTCCGGCGACGGCTACGGCGACGGTCGGGAGCGCCAGGTGCTTCGGAAGCCTCGATCCCAGGATATCCCGCGAGCTGTTCTTGATCTCCTTTGCCGGGAGTCTGTTGCGAAATTCACCTCCCGTGGCACCAATTTCTCGTGGGTTGGCGTGCATATCGAGCTCCGCCCCCTTATCAGGGAGCGGTGGTGGAAATGATGGAGTCGGTGGCGGCAGCGGCGGCGGCGGCGACGAATCCGGCGGCGGTGGGATGCAACCGGTATCTCTTGCGGGAGAATCCGGGGAGGCTTCGACCCGTGGGTCTGATGTGATAATTCTTGATGTTGGGGTAAGTTTATTTTTCTTTTCCTAGTGATTCTTGCCTTTTTCGATTTTGTTTAGTTATTTGCAGTAATAGTTCGAACCTTTTTGAATCATCCAGGGGATGTCTTGTGGTGGATGTGCTGCCAGCGTGAAGCGCATTTTGGAAAGTCAAGTAAGAGTTTTTTTTCCCAATATGTTCTCTGCTTTATTTATTTGCTAGTTTTGATGGTGGGATAGACAAATGCAGTTTGATTCACGCTCTTCTTTTGTGTAAAGTTCTCTAAACCAAAAGATACAAGCTCTTAACTTAGACACTCTTGGCACAGTTTTTGTAGAATTATGATGGCTGTTATCCATGTTTTAGACAAGGAGTACTTGAGCAGCTCAAACTGTCTGCATTGGAGACTCTGTCAAACACATTTCACACTCTTATTCTTGTTCAGTTGTGAGGATTTCCTTTTTCGTCTCTCTCCATGCTCATCTCTGGACTACTATCTCTAAGATAGAGAACCCATGATGGGTGGAGTAGGAAATCAATCTGAAGAATCTATAAGAAAGTAAACAAAAAAAAAAGTAGTAAGAACCTCAAGTGGAGGAGGTTTCGAGATTTTTATTTATTTATTTTACAATATGGGTCAAATATTGATTTGGAGGTGAGTCTCGGTGAATGGTAAGGTTGTTTTCTAGTGACTTGGGTGATCAAGGTCCGAGTGGCAAAAGCAGCTTTTTCTTGTAGGGTTTGAATCACTAGACCACCTTTTCTATTGATGTTTTGTACACGCAAGACAAGCATAGTTAAGACCGTTCCATTGGTTCTTCCTTTTGACAGTCATGTTACTTGACCATGTCTGTGACCATGTGCAGCCTCAAGTGTCATCAGCAAACGTCAATCTTGCGACCGAGACAGCAATCGTGTGGGCAATTTCTGAAGCTAAGGTTATGCCAAACTGGAAACAGCAGTTGGGAAATAGACTCGCAGGCCATTTGACAACTTGCGGCTTCAAGTCCAGTCTTCGTGGTACATATTTGCTGACTGTGATGGCTCTGTATTTGTTGGTTCTTGTGTAGGTCTTGATCTGATTGATGTGGGTGTAGATGATAGAACTCTAATTTTACTTCTTCATCCTACTTGAAATATGTTTAGTTGTAGGGATGAAATAGAGTCCAGTTTGTTATGGGTTATTCAACTCAGATCTGTTGGGTATATGATTTTAAAAACGAATATCTGACAACAAATTAATTTGATGCAGTTTTGCTATCATGTTTGGTAGGATCGTATAAGTCCGTGATTTTCTTCTAATTTCTTCTGGATGTTTATGAATATAATTTTAGCTAGATGGGCAAAGATCTGGGTAGAATAATCACCTACAGATTATTATTACTTTTTCATGTGTTAACTTTTCATATCTTGCTTTGATAAGTCTTCAATTCTACTTTTTCAGCCTTGACATATACTGCTGCGATGATCTATTACTAATGGGTCGATGCTTTCTTTGTAGTCCACAAAGCAATCTAAATATTTAGTTGTCTGTGAATGTATGGTTTTTTTTGGACTTTAATATACGTACTATTATACATGGTTCGTCTTACTGGTCCGTACCAGTGTACCGATCGGCTATCGGTACGTTACTTACCGAGCCATACTGATGTACCGATACATGATTCGATGAGGCATATCGACAAACCGGTATGTACTGCCCATATTAGTCTCCTGTTGGATCGGTATGTATCGCCCATACTACGCGGTACATCACGGTACGATAAACCTTGCTATTATATATACATCCACTTAGGTTCCTAGTCTGTAAAAATTAAGTGCATTTAGGTATAATCTTCTTACGTCCAAGCAAATGTGGTCTAGTGACATTCCTGCAAATGATTTGTTAGACCAATGTTTTCTAAATTGCATGCTATGTTCAATTCCGAGCTAAATTTCCTATACTGCTAAATTCATGTGGTCTATACATAGCTAGGCATTTGGTTGTTTTAAATTTAATATAACATTCTTGTTTATTCTCAAAATTTATGGTACTCCATTACCATGTAAGAATTGCAGAAGTTTCTCTATAACTTCATTTTGGCATAGCAACCTGATTAGTAACCCGGGGATATATTTATAGAGGGATATCATCTCCTTGACAGTCCTTGAGGCTTGTATGATATGATATTGCCCTTAATGCATGTGATGATTGTAGATTCTGCAAGAGACAGCTTTTACAAAGTATTTGAGAGGAAGATGGATGAAAAGCTTCAGAACCTAAAAGAAAGTGGTATGTGTTTCACGCTCCATGATTTCATAATAAATCATTGTATCCCTTTAAAGCTGTTCTAATTTATTGTAACGTTTAATCAGTATATAATTTCAAGTTTTATGCTGGTTTAGTACTGATCTTTCCAGTGTGTTATGTATACTTATCTAGTTATTCTGGCTAACCAATTACATATACTTGTTTCCAGGTCGGGAGCTTGCTGTATCATGGGCATTGTGTGCTGTATGCCTCCTAGGGCATCTCTCTCACTTCTTTAAAGCTGGCCCCTCTTGGATTCACACATGCCATTCTACTAGTTTTCATTTGTCACTTTCATTGTTCACATTTCTTGGTCCTGGACGCAAACTTGTTCTTGATGGGTTCAGAAGTTTGCTGATGGGTTCACCTAACATGAACACGCTAGTTGGTTTAGGTGCTTTATCATCTTTTGCAGTCAGCTCCATTGCAGCCATCATGCCGAAACTGGTATTCACCGTCTTCATCCAGGAATGATGCTGTAATTTATTTTCATTTGTGCATATTCATATATATGCATGTTGATCATGATCCTCTTATCATTAGATTAATATTGTCATGAAAAGTTTCTTGGCTGTGTTTATTCTTGTCAACTAATAACAAGATGATCACACTAAGACGACTTGGTCTAATTGAATCATTGATTGTGTTATCTTAACAGAAAAAAACTTTTGGAAGAACTTGACAGCACAGTTAGTCAAATAGGACACTGACCACTTTAGGCATACTGGTGGAACTATTACAACATGGAAGCTGTAACTTTGAACTTGAGAGTTAATATAAAGACTACATTCCATGCCTAAGCAGCCTGGTTGGTGCCATAGTTGCTGGCACGTTTGCTTTCTTTGGACACTGTCATAGCATGAGTTAAGAAGCAACTACACTTCATGCTAGTTTGATGGCAGCATGTTATGTACCAAAGTTCAATTTGGTGATGTATAACACTATTCCTACTGGAAAGTCCCTATTAGAGTTATTCTATTGTACAGACATGCTTCCGAAGTTTTTTTATTTTGAAAAACCATCCAACCAACCAAAGCATAGTTCCTACTTCTAGATATCTGTGTTTCTATATTGATACACCATAAGTAATTTCGAAGGTGAAGTAATAGTGAATGAGATGGTGGATAGAAGCAAAGAATCTTACAGATTTTGGACATTGTGTATTTCTTTTGATCCTTCTATAAGTTTTAAAATATGTATTATTTTCTTCATGCAAAGAACTCAATTACTTCAAATCAATAAATAATTTCCAATTTCTTATAATTTTTAAGTCATGTTTAATTTCTGTGTAGAGATTTTTTTTGGATTTCTTATTTTCTTTTTGCTGTTACATCTTTTAGGTTCCTCTGATCACGTAAAGCACCTATATTTTTCGTATCTTGATTTCCCATGTCTTATTTCCATAAGCTACTACTGACTGTTTTGCTGCTTAAGCATGAAAGATATTTTTGTTTATATTTTGTGTTATCCAAACAGGGATGGAAGACATTCTTTGAGGAACCAATTATGTTAATAGCTTTTGTTCTGTTGGGGAAAAATCTTGAACAGAGAGCAAAAATAAAAGCCACCAGTGACATGACAGGACTTCTGAATATTCTTCCTACAAAAGCACGCCTCATGGTTGACAGTGATGCTGGAAAGGTGCCATCACTTGTAGAGGTTCCATGTAGCAGCCTCTCTATTGGGGACCAGATTGTTGTACTACCAGGAGTGAGTAGAATGATCTTTTGTTGTTGCCTTGCCATTATTAAAAGTGCATATTTTAGGGTGTGGAATGGAAATACTGACAAAAACTGAAGTAACTAGGATGACTACATTTTCTAGGGACCATTGGGCTCTGAATCTATGCAACTTGGCTTTTTACATATCTCAATGGCGGGAAAACATTCATGTAGCTGATCCCAAATAGTTGGGACTCACAGCTTTGTTGTTGTATTCATGGTTAATATTAGATAAACTTGTTCATGGCTAATATAAAATTTGTCATGTTATCTCCATATTTAACATTTTATTGTACAGAATAAGAAGGGAGTTGGTGCTTTTGTGATGTTGGGTTTCTTAATTATCCTAGTTTCACACTCTCAGTTATTAACACTAATTGATGCTTGCTTTCAACACCTGGACTCATCCTTTTTCTTTAAGAAACCACCTAAACTTAATAATAATAATAATTCTTTGTGTGTGGCTTTCTCCTTCCAGGATCGTGTTCCAGCTGATGGAATTGTTAAAGCTGGAAGAAGTTCAATTGATGAGTCAAGTTTCACTGGGGAGCCTCTGCCAGTGACAAAGCTTCCTGGGGTAGACCTCTTAGTTCTTCCTTCTTTTTTATGGCTTATGTTGCATTAATAAACCTCAAAATTGCTTTTGGTGTTTGTTAATATTTTGTTTTCTTAATCTTTCTTATCTTGTATGTCACATGGTTTGAATCTAATGCAGGTTTTTTCTATCCTAGGCTGAAGTGACAGCTGGTAGCATTAACTTGAATGGTACACTTACCATTGAAGTAAAAAGACCTGGAGGTGAAACTGCTATGGGGGATATAGTTCGCTTGGTGGAGAATGCACAAACAAGGGGAGCTCCTGTGCAACGCTTAGCCGACAAGGTACGTGCAACTGCTAGGCTTATGTTGCATTCCATCATCATCAAGTCCCAGAATCATTTGGTGTGATACACATATAAAGGAAAAAATGATTTGGTCAAAACAATCGGGGACAATGATTTATTATGTTGCTGTACAGTCTCTGATTAGCTTATAATGTAACATGGTTTAATCAATTCAGATTATGGATAATGATTGCTTCAGTCTTATACTAATTTTTGTCGATGTAACATTTTTTCTATTGTGATCATTTTGACTAGTATTAGGTTTGTATAGCATGACAATATAAATGAAAAGACTAGTTTTTATATTAAAACCTGCTATTCTGGTCATAGTATATCACAATACTCAGACGATATAAATAAAAGACTAGTTTTTATTATAAAAACATCCCATGAACTGCCCTAAAAAGGGCAGTCTGCAGGCAGTCGCCTGGTATGGACCTGTCATGGTAAAATTTAAAACCTTTGTTACACCACTAAAATACATGAGACCAACTTTCAGCATGCAATTATTTTTTTCAGGTCGATCTGCTGATGAGTTGACTTAGGAAAACTGATTTTTCATAGTCTTCAGTTATAAGTTCCAGTGACTATGAAATTATATATGTTCTGATTTGTCCTAATCCTTTAGTATTAGTCAATCTTTGGTCAGAATTTTGACATTAATCTTGAAGGATACTTATGCTGAAGTTCTGCATTTAACTAAATTATTTGAAGAATATGTGGTTGTAGATTTTCAATGAATACTAAAGCTGCAAGGAAACCATACCTCTATTCAACATTTATACTTCAAAATTTTTATATAACAAAAGTGGTTGTAAAATTTCTTTTACTGTATGGTTACATGTATTTGAAAAATGATATCTTCTCAATGAATTCTCTCTTTCAATTAACACACTATGTTATCTGGTGTCTCAAGGTCTGGGTCCATGGTCTAATCATTGATAAAACTTAAAAAGGATGGTAATATATTTATTCTTCATCCTCAATGAGGTCAAGCTTATGAGTCTTCCTTATTTCTCTGAAAAATTTACAGGTGCATGCATGTATCTATAGTCAGACTACTTACAATGACATGCAAACCATTTTCAATTCAAAGGTTATTTAAGAAGACATAACAAAAGCTATGTTCTGTGTCAACAGGTTGCTGGGCATTTTACATATGCAGTTATGGCATTGTCTGCTGCCACTTTCACATTCTGGAGTTTGTTTGGTTCACAACTTGTACCAGCTGCGTTGAAGCATGGAAGTTCAATGTCCTTGGCCCTACAGCTATCTTGTAGTGTTTTGGTATGAATGTATAAGGATGTTTAGATTGTTTTAAGCTATATGAATTTTTCCATTAACTACTTGAGAGTAGCTACTAATTCTGATTTTTTCTTTCTTTACTGATTTACAAAAACTTAGTTTTATTTCTTGTAAATCTTAATGTTTCTGGTACCTTAGATATTAGATTGTGTTCATAAAGGTGGTGTTCAAAGATTCAAGACAATTTAATTAGTAACTGCTTGTTAACATTATTAAAAAAATGAGATAGTGCTAAACTGCTAATTAAGTTTTGTTAATATTGTGCTATTGACTTTGGCTAAGGTGGAATTCTGTATACCTTACAATAATAACTGTTATTAGGAAATTTTACCTGTACCTAATTATACAATAGCACTGAAGTCAACTATATGTCATGTAGTCAAAATATTATATTCAAATGATCACCTTAGGGTAAGGCCTCCAGTTTGATCAATTCCTTTTTTCTTCTTCACATGTTTCATTTCAGCACCTCATCTTTTCTATAAATGTCTTTTACTTTCAAAGAATTCATATCAGTCACCCATTGTCTGTTATTGGTATTAAGTCCACTTTTATATTCTCTTTACATATTGATGCTTATATACAACAGCAACAAAGTCAATCATTGTTCTAAAGTTAATGCGATTATTTTAGAACTATAAAAGTTTTTGCATTTATTTATACGACAAGGCAGTGAAAAACATGGAAAAAAGATTGTAAGTTAGAAAAAGGCTTCTTAAAAATTTAATAATTTGGGGTTTGAGAGCAACTTTACGATGACAATAAAGAGTTATTTTGCTATTCAAGAATACGTTTTGACTGAATGTCTGATTTCTTTAAGAAGTTGCCTGGTAAGAGTAAAAGTCATGATGTCGTAGATGGCTTAGTTTCCGTTATAGGAGTTTTCACTATAAAAGTAAGGAAACTCATCTTTAGTTGGAATAGTTTCTGACTTTCCATCCTATATCTATTCTGGAAGAGTTTATATTTCTTGTTCTCTTCATACACATGCCGGTCTTTTCATTTAATCAGTTGCTAATATAAATTTGAAGACTTTACTGTTTGTAGTTATTTCTTCCTCATACTTTTTTGATAATTTTGTTTACCTAATACTTCTGTGCAGGTTGTTGCATGTCCATGTGCACTTGGTCTGGCTACTCCGACTGCTGTGCTGGTATGACTAGAGATAAACCATCAACAACAGCATCATCCAGCAGTTTGCTGGCAAGCTTTCAGTTTAATTTTGACTTATTTGATTGTTTAGGTGGGAACCTCATTAGGGGCGACTAGAGGACTGCTTTTACGTGGTGGAGATGTTTTGGAGAAGTTTGCAGCTGTTGATGCAGTAGTGTTTGATAAAACAGGCACTTTGACAACTGGAAAGCCTGTTGTGACGAGGGTTATAACTCATCAACATGGGGAACATGAATATTCATAGTTAAGTGGTGATTGATTCTTTTGTAAACTATTTGTGGATGTGAATGCCTTATGCAAAACAACAATAAAATTCTCCTATAACAGATGTGCAGTTCAGATGGAGGAAATCGGTCAACTACTTGAATAAACAAAGATATTCTCTTTTTCCTTCAGAAAAATAATGAATATTTTGTTGACAGTTATCATTGGCATAATTTACTCTGACTTCCTACTTTGGAATCAGTTCTCTTGCAAATGGATTGCAATTGAATTATAGTAAATAAAATGAAAGAAACATGAGATATATGCTTATTTTATTGAGGTTGTTTTTTAATAAATAAGCTGATTGGAGATAGGTCACCAAGACTGAACCAACTAAGAGTGTAATTCTGATTAAAATTTAGAATGTGGATTAAAATTTTGGTCCTGTACTGGTTCCAGACAGTGGCTAGACTGGTAGGCTATTGTTATGGGGTCGTGTGTACTGACACTTAATATGGGTTGGTACTAGTTGGTACCACCCAGATAAGAAAGAATTAGTTATTCTGCAAAGTGGTCAAATTAGTATTTCCTTGATTTATATTATTAATTACCTTGATAGTAATGACAAGATAATTGTTATGTTTTTGTTAAATTTTCATTTAAACAAAAAAAAAATGTAGTTACCTTGTAAGAAGTAAATCAGTTACCTTGATATGCATTCTTGATCCAAACAGGCCCTAATTTATTCTACGAGACTTTAATTTATTCAATCAGTTGTAACCAATCATTGTAAAAGTTGGGATGTGTTTGAATCTAGTTTACTTATCGATTTGGTCTCTAATCAATGGCATAATATTCTTTTATCTATCAGTAACTGATTTATTGCCATTGCATAACATTCCTTTTGTAGTGTCCATTGGGTAACTGATATATTGCCTAACAAAATAAGTTGAGAGTAAGAAATTGTAGCTTCTACTCTGCCTCTTGTTGTTACAAGTTATAATATAACTGAATCTTTGTGACATATGTGACACATGATGAATATAACCTTATGAGGCTTAAAGCAAATAGTAGTTTTTATTGGTAAGTTCATGTTTGAATGTACAGTGAAACTCCTAAGTTCAAATGGACAGAAGCTGATATCTTGAGGTTAGCTGCCAGTGTGGAATCAAATACAAATCATCCAGTTGGAAAAGCTATCGTTGAAGCTGCTCGTTCTGTTGGTTCTCAAAATGTCAAGGTAACTTCAGTTTAGTTCAAGAAATTCTATTATGAACTTTTATATGCTATTATAACTCTGAAAACAATATCAGAATTTAGTGTGCTTTAATTTCAGTTCTTCTTGCACTTACTGATGCAAAGGTCTCTCCATTGACATAGTTAAGCTATATATTTTCTTCTCATGTAGCAGATATTAGTTCCAGGAATAAAACTGGTTGAGTGTTATAATATAATAACAAAGTGGCTACTGAATTGGTTTATGTAAATCTAGGAAATTCCTTAGAAGTATCTAACTGTTGAGTAGCCATCCAAACTGTAGCCTTTTCTGATGCATGACATGTGGGATGATGAGAAATACGATGTTGATGACATTCCTTGGGTACAAAATATGTGATCACATAACTTGGAATTTATCTATTTTGTTTTGGAAATTTTCAACACCTTAAGGTTAAATCTGGACAGTGGTTATGTTTACTTAGTTATATCCAGAAATGTTTGACATTCTTCAGCAGATATTATGTGATTTGCCTTATTCGCAATTAATTCATTTTTATCTATGGTATCTCCTGTTATGTACAAGGCAAGATAGAAATAATCACTATAATGCTTTAAAAGTAACAGATGTCAAAATATAAATATTTGAGTTCGTACTTGGTACAAATTAACTCTTCAGAGTGTGCTTGTTGTTAGCCAGTGGCAAGCTAGAAAAAGTAGGGATCTGTTAGGTATTTGACAGTTAGGTTTCGAATTTTAACTAGTTAAGTTTTACTGGGAACTTGTTGAGCTGCAGGCCAACTGAGACCAGAGAAGATGACATTGCATCACAGGATCAAAGATTTAAATCTCAGTATGATACTGGTTTTGATAATCTATCAGACGGTATAGTACCAGTAGATCAGATGTATGCTAATGCGTACTGGCTTGTATCAATAAAAAATATAATTGGAAACTGGATCGGTACTAGATTACATTGTCCGACACCAGTCCTTGATTGGACAGGTAAGCACTGGTTGGTACACACTACATTGACTGGTATTTGAATCCATGCGTAGGATATATGTATTTTATGGTTTTGTAGTCCTTCTCGATTGGTTTTCTTTCTTCATCTTTCTTTTTCTTTGTCGATATGAGTTAACACAATGATCTGCTGGGGCACACTGGCAGCATAGAGTGGGCCAGCCAAGGATTTAATATTAATCTGATATTTGTTTCGGTGACTTATTGGATTGGTATGGTAGTGGTATATTGACCTGTACCTCTTGGTGCCACCGAAGAAATAGTAGAAAATCAAAATGAATGGTATCATACTAGGATTAAGCCTTATGCTTTGTATGATTGTCTAACAGCATTAAATTTAGTAGGTGACTTTGTTTTACTCGAAATCCACTCGACATAAGTACAACTCAACATAAGTACAATTTTCATATGCTAAACTGCTCTGAGCAGAAATGTATCTGAGAATTTTTGACATTTTGTCAAAACCACTTTGAACTCTGGAGAACATCATCTGACTTACCATATCTTGGATAACTGGCTTCGGTGACAATGATTTTAACTTATATTAGAACTTCCAAATTGTACTGTAGGGTAGAAATTATCAATGTTCTTTTGTTTCTTTTGGATAATTAAATATCTAGGAATTTTAATCACTTGCGTAAGCATGTGTCATGACAGGTAATAGATGGGACATTCAGTGAAGAACCTGGCTCTGGTGTGGTAGCTGTTGTTGACCAAAAGAAGGTTGCTGTTGGGACATTAAGCTGGCTCAGAAGGTAATTGTGGACATTCGCCGCAGAACCCTAACCTTAATGTCTCTCAGTGCTAAAGCTGGTTGTGTTTGTTGTAATATACTGTCCAAGTACATTTTCCTGATTTATCTCGTGTAAGATAATCATGTTAAGTGAAAGTAGTATAACGATAATTGTTAGCATATGACATTTTTAGAATTACTCCCTTATATCTAAAGTTCTAAATGATAAATTCTAGTTTTAAGGCAAATTGTAAGAAATACAACACTGCATAGTTCGTGCTATATATGTACAGCATAGCTCTCTGACAACTAATTTGCTTCTGTGATGTTGCAGGCATGGAGTTGTTGATAACCCATTTCCAGATGCGGAGCTCAATAATCAGTCTGTTGTATATGTAGGAGTAGATAGTGCTTTAGCCGGGCTAATTTACTTTGAGGATAAAATAAGGGAAGATGCACCTCATGTTGTTGAAACTTTATCAAAACAAGGAATAAACATATATATGCTATCTGGTGACAAGAAGAATGCCGCTGAATATGTAGCATCTATGGTTGGTATCGACAAAACAAAGGTATGATGGAGAACCCTAACCAGAAAGTATGCATTATATTATCTCAGTTAGCTACCTCAAGATCTTTGCAAGGAAAATTTTCTATGTCAATTTTCATCTTGTAAAGATTTGAACTAGCTATCAGACCAAAGGAGTCATAGTTGTATCTTGGCCAGTTCAATCCTATTAAATTACGAAATTCAAATATTCAAACTTGAATATCAGTATTGATTCAGTTACTTGTCCACCGCATTATTGTTGGAATAATGCTCTGCAAGAATGAAAATATTTTTGGGTTTGCGGAGTTTACTAGTGAACCAAGAACATTGTAGGCAGTGAAACTTATCCTCATAACATATTGATAAAGCCGTTTACCCAGAGCCTTCTTCTGATGCCCAGGGACTAATATGGGTCCAGTACCTGAAACGGCCGACCTTGGCTGGAAGTTGAAATATTGTTGGGGTATAGTCTTAATTAAGATTTAGAAAGTTGTCTATTGTTAGCTTGTTCTAAATTAAATCAGCTCTGAACTGATTTTTTTTTTAACTTTTTACAAAGGAGATTATGGTAATTACACTAGTGCAGTGTTAAAGTTATTCAGCTTATATATTGTCATGTATCAAAAATGAAAAATGTTTTTGGCAATTTATGTTTACGTCAGGTGATTTCTGAAGTTAAACCCGAGGAGAAGAAGATGTTCATCTCTGAGCTTCAAAAAAATCAAAAAGTTGTTGTGATGGTTGGTGATGGTATTAATGATGCTGCTGCATTGGCTTCAGCAGACATAGGTATTGCAATGGGTGAAGGTGTTGGTGCAGCTAGCGATGTATCTTCAATTGTGCTTATGGGCAACAGATTATCACAGGTACCTAAATGTACTATTCTGGTGGTTGTTTATTTGTATTTGCTTTTGTTTCTGATGTCTTTTGTTTCTTATGGGCAACTGATTAGCTTCGATTTTATATGCACAAGTTTACTTAGTTTCTTCCTTATTTTTCTTTAAAACATAGGTTTTACTTGATGGAATTGCGATGTTTTGAATATGAATTTGCATTCTAGAAATAACTACAATTTCAGAGATCCATGCAAGTTTCTTTAATATGTTGGGATAGAAAAGAAGTCAAAATGTAGGCTAGTGCATAAGGAGAAAAAGAAAAACATTGTGATGGTGCTGAAGACAAAAGTAGTATTTTTTTCTGGTGTGGCAACATGGAGAAGAGCAATTCCACCAGCAGTATTTGTTGAAAATGGCTGTGACTAAGTAATTGTTTAATTTTAATAATATTTGTGACAACTTCTCAAATGTTTTGCCAGACAATAAGTTAATTGATGTGGGCAATCATTAGGGAAGCTAGATTAGTATAATAAATAACCCTAATAAAGATGCCAAAATCATGGGTGAAACCGTGAAAGCTAAATTACTGGTATAATATATATAATTAGAGGCATACGCGAAAGAGTCATTAATCAATGAAAAATGAAAATAATTGCGACACATTGACTTTGTTAATGAGGGCCAGAATATAAGGAATAATACATTTGATGGCAAGCATTTCCAAATTTAAATGTCATGGCGCTATTACAAGGAAATAGTAAAACATAAAAATGTAGAGTTTGAACATGCTACATTTTTATTGAACATATGTGGAACTTTTAGTTTAAAGGCGCTTCCATGTTTCTACTTTCTAGTGAAATGCTGAAAGCATTTCAATCATTCAATGTACCGAAAATAACAGGTGAAACTAAGTCTGGATTTGTTGAACTATCTCTTTAGCTAGATAGCCTAGATTAGCAATTACGTTTGGAGTTTAGGCATATAAGTCCTTAAATCTTTATAAATTGCATATAACTTGTTTAACTAAGCCAATAGTGAATCTTTGCTACTGGCTGGACTAGATATACTGCCGACAAAGCACCAATAACTGACTGTACAGTTCCGTATGTTTCTTAATCTGTTATTATTTTACTATACACTTTCATATATTGCTCAGTTTGTTATTATTTTACTATACAGTTCTGTATATTCGTATTGCTCAATTTGTTATTATTTTATTTAGTGATATACAGCAGTATATGTTGGTATACCTCCCAGAATCTCAGTCTTGTACTAGTTCAATAGGTTGGCAAAATTGGGATTTCAAATGTTGGTGGTACCAATTGAAAATTCTTGTAGTCACCATGGATTGCAAAAATGACTGGCTTGGCATGATTTGGCCAGTATTTACTGATCCAATTGCTGATCATTATGCTGAGAAGTCCAAACCGGTTGGTCCAGTTCACCATATATATAATTTCATTTCATTTCTTTTCTGCACTAGGGCTCGGCTGAGGACGCAGCTCCTCAAGTTGACTTCACCCATCACCAACTCTACCTCCATAGAGTACCGAGCTTGTCTTTAGCATCTATCTGTAGTTACTTCTGATTCATGAATTTAAAAAATTCTAAGCAACTTAGAGATATATCACTTGTGCATTGGCAGACAGGCATAACAGTGTTTGGAATTATCTTTACATGGTGCTGAAACTGTCCTGGGCATCTTTTTTTACTAATCCTAGCAAATAAACTTACATATTTCTGATTAATTTATAACCACTTTGTTTTTCATAATATATATGTTGCTAGCTTACTGCACTTTAGAAGGGGATTTTTGGTCAGTCAAATATATCAAGGTTGGACATCAGAGGTGGTATTTGGCTAAAAGCAATTCCTTGAAGATCCACTCTTCCTTATGTTCCACCACTCAAAGTATCTGGCTAACTAAGCATGTTAACATATGTCCTCTTATTTGTTTGCAATGGAACCAACATGATATGTCTTTTTTTAAATAGTAAAACCAATCTGGCAAGTTCCATCAAGCCTTTCTAAATTTCTGCATCAAGAAATAACCACAAGTATAGTTTTGGCCCAAGACCAAAAACTTGTCCAAAATGAATACTTAAGTTATTAAGGCATGCATGGCACTGGAAACTATCATCCTTATAGTTGATGGTAATTTAATTTCAATTTTTTTTTATGATTAAAAATAATATGAATATCCTTTTTGTTTTGATAATAGTTTATTTCAGGAGAGAGATTTAGGCATATAAATTCTTACCTATTTTCTTTTTGCTGCCTTTCCTTGGATATATTTTGTTTTTGAAGAGTTTCTTATTTCCTTTCAATACTGAATGAGTATGCATGGGTACTGGATCAATATAGAGGGATTGCTAAGAAAAATAAAACATGACCTAGCACCTCTGTGCTTGAGAAAAGCCTGCTTTTGTGCAAGTGTTTGTTGCACTAGAATGTGTTTTACTGTGTCTTTTCCTTTTATCATTGGCTTAAATCCATCGTAATTTTTTGGTATGTCCAGTATATTTGTTGTTTAACTAAACAAATAATGTGGCATCTGTGCAGCTGATCGATGCTTTGGATTTGAGCAAAGTAACTATGAAGACTGTGAAGCAAAACCTGTGGTGGGCATTTGCATATAATATTGTAAGTCATATCAATACAACCATTCATTTATGTTCCTGTGAGCAACTTTTGATATGATTGATTGAACTTGTCATGTTATTTCCTAGTTTGTTCACAATTAAAAGGTGCATATGCGCATCCACTTGCATAATAACATATAGATGTACATGTAAACTCTTAGGTATCTGCATACTTATGCATATGAGATATTTTTGCATGTACAACAACAGCAACAATGCCGTCGTTGTTGTCAACATGATCTGATGGCCAAAAAGAATAAGATGCATTGTTTTCTTTTTCTTCAGGCTATGATGTCTCCATGCCTCATTTACTGGGTTTTGTCTGGTGCATGGATGCAACAAAATTGTCTCGTCCTTGTTCCATTTGGACCAGCTTAACTTTTTCTTGTCTTCTGTTATGCTGTCTCACAATGATCTATGTTTGCAGCAACGCCTTAATGAATCGTACTTGAGGTTCTTAAACACAATCGGCTCTCAACACCTTAGTCTTTCTGCTTCCAAGCTCAAACCCAGATCTCCAAACTTCTTTCTCCATTGGATCAATCAGTGCCTCTTTCATTGACTTCCATGGTGTCACCTTCATATGTATGTCAGAATTGGAAAATCTCTTCTGCCTTAATAACCATACCAAATTTACAAAGCATTGAATACTCACCACCAGGTACCCATTGTCATCTATATCTATGATAAAAGCAACCTAAACTGATGGGTTTAACACTTTGTGCGACTTCCAACGAATGGCAAATGACACATCTCTGTCGAATGGAATGTTAACTGGAGAAGCCTTTGGTGCATGAAACAATCAACTTTTCTAACATGTTCCTGCACTCAAAATATATAGCGTTTACCTGGAACAATTAGACATCTATCCAGCACTATATTGTCATTAGAAATTAGACAACATGTGTTTCTTCCTTTCAGGAGCAGTCAGTTCTTCATGATCATGTATCAATATTTTATTTACTTCATATAGAAAAAATAAGTTATGGAAATTTATCTGAAAAGTCAAGTCAGCAATGTACAGAGTAAAATTGGCAGATTTTGTTTTTGGATTATGGTCTTTTTACAATGACAAGACAGATTGAATTTGAAACTGAAGAAATTTACAACAATGATGGTGATACTGTACTTGTATTGATAATTAAACGTGTTCTGTTTGGGGCATATCAATAGAGATTGTCTTTTCATGGCATATCGACCTGCCAATATTTTTATGGCATGATACTTTTCCAAGTTGTGATGATCGCCATGGCTTTATGCCTACTTGACTTACTTGGCTTATCCATTAGCTGCTATCTTCAGTACAGGTCCACATGGTGCATACTGATATCTTTCTATCAATGCATGTTTCATCTCAAGCCCACAAATTCCATTTGGTTATGGCATGTATTGCATGTCACTACCAAAATTTGTATCAAGCCAATGTAAACAGAACAGATATCATTTTTCTCCCTTTTCACTAGAAAACTTTGTTGTTCAATCTGACCTATTCAATCATGAACTAATGCAAAGCAATTAATGTTTCTGCAGGTAGGAATTCCAGTTGCTGCTGGAATTTTATTACCTTCAACTGGTACTATGTTGACGCCATCTATTGCTGGAGCTCTTATGGGTTTGAGTTCGGTAGGGGTGATGACAAACTCACTGTTTTTGAGGTTTAGGGCAGGGAAAGGAAAGAAACATATGCACAAACACCAGCGGCAAAGCAGAGACATCCCTGATTCAGACATCCTTGTACAAATCGACAATGAGGCGCAGAAACCTTACCCTGTCAAATGGAGGAACAGTTGATTCTTGAAACTGGGACTGACCATTATATGTTTGTCAAATTTAACTTGAACTACATGATCAGGTCAGTGAATAAGCGGTAAGTGAAGCGGAGCCAGATGAATGAGCACAAAGTTCAGTGGGGTCAGGCACTAAAGATTGGATGCATTAGACATCCTCAAACCAGTTTGCCTGATGAGCTGAGTATTGCAGCCCTTCTTGTTGGGCTGCGGGAGCTATTGGTAATTGCATTCTTTTCTGTTATCGGTTGGAACAGTGCACTATGGCATCAGGATCTCCAAAATCGATCTGCAATCTCTCTTTGATATCAATCTTTGTTGTTCAATTTTCCCAACAGTTTCTGATCAATTTTTCTTTTGATTGTCAACTAATTTGAACTATAGAAACATGCTACACTAAAAGTTCAGTTTCAATCATATATTAGGATCCGCATTTCCTCAATAACCTTTCCTTCTGAATCAAAATTGTTCCAGTTTATTTAGTTGTTGCCTAAAGTTATTGAGCTATTTCAAGACTTCAGTTATGCTGCTAGCACAAATCTGACAATGATGATATCAGGTGATTTCACTGTATAATGAACTGCCCTGTAATGAAGGATTAGGTTTCTTATGGAATCTGACAGATACATCAGTGTTCAATATTTCTCAAATTTTTTTCTCACAATGTACCTACCTATATATGTTTGTGTATACCTTAATTCTCTTTAGGCTTCTCATGGAATCTGGCAGCAACTTCAATCACTGTTTACTTCTCTTACAACTAAGATTTTTGTTCACCTTCAATTTCGCTTCGTCGTTATTTTCTACATCATTCATTTTGTCTTAATTTGACAAAAGAATGTTTTCAGATTATGTAAATTTAAGCTATTTAATATTTTAGAAACTATAGTTCATGTTCAGTAGAATCCCTCGTCAGGTTATAACCTTTGTAACTGATCTTGAGGTGATAAATATTGAAATCTTCAGTAATAATTTTAATTGCTTTTCTCTTTTGGTTTATTTTCCTATATACATATATATTTTCCTATATATATATATATATATTGTGGCCAACAAATGCCATTCGCAGTCGTCGTAGATGCATAGTGATTCTTACCATGGTGATCTTGTTGATGATGCAGCACCACCAACAGATCGCTATTGCCATTTGCGATAGTCGTAGAAAGCCATTATCATAAAACATCTGCCTAGATTGCTCAACTAGAGCCATGCACAATCATACATCTCCATCATGCGGTCGCTTACCTCACTGTGCTTGGTGCTCTTCAACGCGTACAACATCCTAGTGATATCCACTAGACCACTTGCACAAGACTCACTATCGTAAGCCACACAACCTTTACTGTGGTGCTACATGTAGCAACCCTATCGCCCGCATAGTTGCTGCCCTTCATTGTGTTATCGTTGACAACGAATTGTTGACGGTAACCCGCCGATCAAACATGAGCAACATGATGTACCTAGCTCTACTTATGTTAAGCCAAAGAATCTTGTATCATAAGCAGGCGATAAGACGAATAAGATAAGAAAACAAATATTTTAAATATCGTACAAACAAAATCAAATAATATTTTTTTATAAACGAAAAATATTAACAAACATATATAAATACAAAATAAATCTAATGTACTTTTATGATATAAGGTATTTGATTTTAAAAAAATATGCTATGATACTAATTATAAATATAAAAAAAATATAATTATGCTACTATTATATGAAAAATATTATATCAAGAACTAAAATCAAATAAAAATAGATTAACATTAGAATTATATACCTTTTGATGCCATTTAGGAAGCCTTTATTTGATATAAGAATGTGCTTCGTAATCCAATTAACAAGTAGCAACAGCACATATCTATAAGATGAATGAGACTCTTCTACTCTCTTTCTATTCTTTACAGGACTACCATAAGCAATAGAATATGAACGAAGAGAAATTGATAATGGATATCGTATTGTATCATTTATAATTCCTAGAATATTATGTTTATTCATAGATGAGAGTAGAGGATCTATAATAAGTAATTAAAAGAGTCCCTCTTATCAAGATCATCATAATTATACTTTTTTTTATTGTCCGATAATTATAATCAAAATTTAATTAAATTAAAAAGGGTTCTTCTCGAAAATATCAACTTTGACAATTCTAAAAATAATTGTAAAATAAGTAGTGGTCATGAAACCAGAGAAAGAAAGAGAATCTTTGACCGCCAAAACTTGAATTTGTTTATACAAAATGCATTGTAAATTTGGAAGTTAGTTGGAAAATGAGGTAAAACGTCACCTAATTTATATACGCATATATAACAAACTGTATGGGTGTGTAGATGTGGATGTGTCTGCATGTATGTGTTATACCATATATAATAATTATTTTCCAAGCCTCGGACAATGTATTCATGAATCTTCATCTTGACTGGTTAATCTTTTGGAATTTATAGAAAGTTATTTCAAGAATTGGTAAAAGATTGTTCCAGTGACTTGCTAGGTCATCAACTCAGTCGATCAACTTGGCTATGCCAAGATGCGTGCTGTGATGCTTGTTTCATGAGCTGCGTGCTGGGAGCCTTTTATTTATGGGTTTGTGGGTTCAAGAAGCAAATTAGCTTGTGCAATTAAAATTTCATTACTAAATAGCTGATGCAGACCAAAATTAGGAGGAGGATTAAGTGATGAATGCTTACAAAGCATCAATTATCCATAGAATCCATACCTATTCATATTGCACTCTGCAGAGGGAAAGAAATAGATCTGGTTAAAAAATTGTTGACTTTCATTTTATTAGACATGAAACTATGATTAATTTGCATCTTATTTTCACATGGGGATTTTTAGTCGAATTAACGGGGGATCGTAAAAGTAAAAGTCTAAATATTATTAGAAAACAGAAGTTAATTAACATTTAAATAGGACTCCATGGCCCAATGGATAAGGCGCTGGTCTACGGAACCAGAGATTCTGGGTTCGATCCCCAGTGGAGTCGATCGTTCTCATAATTTTCGCGACTCTTTTCTTTTATAATCGTTTATTTGATTGACAAGGATTTAATTAGAATACATTTAAGAGAGTGAATAGAAATATGAGATGTTAACGAAATAAATAGGTTGATCGGAAATCCCCCTTTAGAGAAGAAAGTAAAGGAATTTACTAACAAAGATTGTTGAGATAGTGGGTAATGGAAAAAAAGGAATTAGAACACGTTTTGGATGTCATGGTTTATGTTTAACAGGATATCTCATCCGTTTAGAGTCTATATAATTTATTTTAAGATGATAAGATCTAAAAACCTAACTATTCTTCACTTGTCGATGATCATTAACTTGTGGACATGATTAAGGTCCAAATCTTATAACTACAATATCAACATTAGACACCATAAAATAAACAAATTATGATGTTTGTAAAATTATAAATTTTAAACATTCTAATATGTTGCTCAAGCTCAGCTAATCTGATTGTTCATCGGCACAATTTAAATTAAGAAGATTGATCTTAAGTTGATGCCAATAGGTCATCTGGTCGAGTGGAGATGTTTAGAATGCCGTGTAGTAGCTGAGATAGTTGTCACCAATAACCACTTGTTGGAAGAGTCGTGAAGAACAAGCTAAAGCGACAGGGCAAAATAATTGATTGTGAAAGAAGGTTCAAGCAGTAAAAGAACATGATGCTTCCGTCTTCAGCCTCAAAGAGCTAAAGCAATAACAAAGAAAGTTCTTCCATTGACCTTTCAGGCACTTTCTTTATGATCACAAAGTCCTTGAAAGGTCAATCTGTTTCCCTCACGCTTGTCAACAACAAAGGAAGCTTGTATTCTTGTTTCCAAGTCATTAAAATAATTCTTTCAAGGACACAAGCAAGTAGGTCCCGCATTTGTCTTCTTATGATGATGAAGTCCGGTTCGACCGTACGCGACGGGGCAAAAATAATCGATTGCAAAGGAAGATTCAAGTGGCAAAAGAACGTGAACCTTCCGTTGTCAACCTCTAGAGATAAAGCGATTACAAAGAAAGTTCTTCCGTTGACATGAATATACCTGCACACGGTAGGTCAATCTGTTATCGTCTCACACTCATCGATACGAAGAAAAAACTCCGCACATGAATCTGTCACATATGACATCGCACCTACGACAATTATGTTGCATGTCACCGAAAAAATATATATAATAACAACAATGACAATAATGTAAAGAAAAGGAGAAAAAAAATCCCTCAATTTTAGCTCGAGTATATACTAAAGCAAAATGAAATTTATAATGACCACATAAATCACTCCCTGGAACAACAACTTGGCATTATTGGTCCTTAGAATATAAATCATGTTCGTTAAAGTTTTAATCCACAAACATCTTTTCCCAACTCAAATTCATGCGCAATCAACAAAGGAAATTGCGAAGAAGGTTCTTCCACAGACTGATACAAAAATACGTTTTTAAGGACAATCTCTCAACCTACACGGTTGTCTTACTTACCGTCAGATGAATGCATTTCCAGTTGTTTCGCAGTAGGCTTTTTTGGGTATGATTTCATTCTTTTTTTTCTTTTTTTTTTGCCTTTCGTCCGAACATAGTAAGATTTGCCTGAATCTATGACACACAGGCAAGACTTTCCGTTTCGTTGGATAGCATAAATATTATGTATATGCTTACATCGTAGGACATCTAATCTTAGAGCTACTGTCGTCCGGTGCAGACGGTAGAGAGGAGGGATATATGAAAAATGGACCGCAAATTGTTCGAGGCAGCAACATCAGGAGATGTAAGGTTTGTACAAGAGGCAAGCGAAGCTCTTCACCGGGAGGTGACCGCCGACGGGAATTCAGTGCTCCACATCGCAGCAAAGCTCGGGCACATGGAGCTTGCCGAAGCTCTATGCCTCAAGCAGCCCTCCCTCATGAAGTCGTCCAACTCGAAAGGAGACACCCCGCTGCACTGTGCGGCAGCAGCTGGCCATGTAGCGATTGTGGACCTCTTCGTCGTCCACAGGGCTTTTTTGTTTGATGATCCCGTATTTTCTGAAGTGTATGGAGTACCGTGGATGACGAATAATGCCGGAAACACTGCCCTCCATGAGGCAACATGGAATGGGCATCGGGCGGTCGTTGAGCTACTGATGTCGGCCGCTCCGGATTTGGCAGACGTGGAGAACGCCACCGGGGTGTCCGCGCTCTACATGGCAGCCGAGAGGGGATCGGTGGAGATTGCGAAGGAATTGCTCAAGTCTCCGACTGCCTCGGACGAAGGACCTCGCGGCCAGACAGCACTGCATGCAGCCGTACTCAGGAGCTACGGTACGTACCCTTACTCGGTTACTAAAGCAACGCCACTCGCGTTATATCGTTCTAATTGAAAACAGTATTGCGACACAAGAAAGTGCTCTGTTTCTGTTGTTAATTACTTCACTCTCCCGGTGGATTGTCATTTCCCTTTTTTCCTTGTGAAAATTCGAATGTACCTTATGCTTTCGTGGTGACAGATATAACAGAAATGATACTAGACAAAAAGCCAAACTCCGTGAGACCTCAAGATGCCACCAAGAGCACACCTCTCCATTTTGCAGCAGCCAATGGTGATATTACGATGGTACAGCTGCTACTTCAATCTGACTCCAAAGCTGCTTATATCCGGGATGAAGATGGGTATTCGACCATACATGTTGCGGCAAATGCAGGACACTTGAAAATAATTGAGCAAGTACTGGAGTACTGTCCTGACTCAATGGGACTGACGAACAACACCGGCAGGAACTTCTTTCATGTGGCAGTGGAGAAAAAGAATTTAGAGGTGGTGAAGTATGTGCTGAGATCCCCATGGCTCACGGAACTTGTGAACGCACAAGACGATGAAGGAAACACGCCCTTGCACTTAGCGGTCATCTCCCGGAACGAAAAGATGGTCCAAGTCTTGTTGTCCTGCGCTAGTGTAAACGCTAGTGTCATGAACAACTCGGGACGTACTCCCGTCGACCTCGCCTCCTCAAAAGTTAGAATTGAAATCGGCCTTCGAATGGTAAATAATTGATCTCATCATCATTCTGGCTTGTGATGCAAAAAATGATGCCCTTTTCCAGCTTGCTTTAACTGATAGTGCTGCTACTCCTGCCCTGGTTTTGCAGTACAATATCATGATGGATTTGATGTCACATGGATCTCGGTTCAGCCCACAACGTATCGATCACATAAGAAGTAATTTAGAGAGGAAACAAGATGAAGAAATCAATCGGTACAGGGCGTTGGCCAACAACCTTGCCATTATCGCGGTGCTCATCGCCACAGTTACCTTTGCAGCCGCCTTTACCTTGCCGGGAGGATACAAGAACAATCCTGGACCCGATGCGGGAACGGCCATCCTATCTGGCACAGCTGCTTTCAAGGCATTTTTGATCTCGGATACCTTAGCGATGGCCAGCTCTATCAGCGTTGCGATCATACTCATTCACTCTGGTTCTTTGGATCATGATGTCCGCTTACGCTCTCTTATGACTGCCATGAAGCTGTTGTGGGTTGCAGCTGGTGGCATGAGTGTAGCATTTGCCACCGGTTTATATGTTGCGGTTGCTCCTGCCTGCGAGTGGCTTGCGGTTCTTGTAAGCGCCGTAGCCTGCAGTCTCCCCTTTGTTGCCTTTGCTGTCACTTACTGGCCTTCTGCCGACTACTTAAGCAGGGTAAAGGTTGGAATGATTCCCTTGTTAGATCAAATGGGGGACAGCCGTACTCGTTCGAAAATTCTCGGTCAACTTGGACGTCGTCAGATGAGCAGTGGAAAGCGTTGCAACGACAGTTTTGTGCGCTTACAGATATATCATATGAAAGCCGCCAGAGACAGGAGACCCGATAATATGAGCTTTGTAACACCTGCTTCTTCGAAGGAAAGTTTATGTTGTTAGTCGACTGTCGGAAGAAGAAGTAAGTTCACTTTGGTATTTAATTATTTATCGCGCTGTCCGTTGTGCGTATCATCAACTGTCGTATCCATTCGGAGTTGTCTGCTCTATTTATATTTGGTACAATAAAACTTGCAAGTTTCTATTTATCAAGAATTAAATCTCCAAGAAAAAAAATCGATTGTTGTTGAACTTACCAAGTTATACCCTTCTTTTTTTTTATGCTTTTAAAACAGAAATGTTAGAGATGCTGTTGTATGTTTCATTTAGGTAAAGTAGAAGGCCATGGGTATTCTCTTTAGCTCAGGATGTAGAGTTGGCCTATGCCTATAAGAACTTTAATATTCGTAATAGACTGATGCCCATGACCGCGATGTAAAAGTAATAAAAATGCATAGAAAATTAAAGTAAGTGAAACCATTTCGATTTCGCTTTGAAGATTCAACGACATATGAAGTTATTATCTCTGATGTCCTACAAAAACTCTTCTTCAAATTTGATTTCGTGAATTAGAATTTTCTTGGAGAAATTTCACCAATTAGCATATAGAATGCTTGATGGCAGCGGTAGCTGTGATCATAAAACTAGGAAGCTATTTTCTTATAATTTCTAAGTCATGAAAACAGTTTTGTCAGGGACACAAGCAAACAGATCGCATGTTTTTCACCTTTGTCTTCTCGTCATCATGCATTCATTCCCGTTTGACCACATGGAACAGGAAAAAAGAATTTATGGTGAAGAGATAATTTTAGCAGCAAAAAGAGCATGATACTTCCATTATCACTATAAGATTAATTTAAATAATTAAAATTAGATGTAACAAAAGATAAAGATCTAAATTAAGATAAATAAAGGAGGATAAAATTTTTTTATTGAATTATGATTGATTTATTTATTATTTAAAAATTTATATTATATCTTTTGACTAATATGAATATATGTTAATCCAAAACATTATATATTGAAAAAGTATTCCTTGCTAGTTTTATGTCTTCTCTCCTTTTTTTTCTTTGAGTCTATAAAAAGTCAATAAGTGTGGTATTAGAATATGGTTTGAAGAAGATCAATAAGAGTACCTTAATTAGAAAAGAAGACAAAATCAGTAGACTTAAAAGGTTTTTTTATTTAAAGATAGACATTGGAGTAAGTATTTCTAAACAAGAACTCTAATTATTTTATAAGAATTATAAAATTTAACAGAAAATGATTTTATTGAGTATGATATGTAGGATCTCAATATTATTGAAGATTAAATAAATAGAAACATGTAAAAAGATGTAAAAGCTATCTATATATTATAGCAAGCAATAAATGAATCTCTATTTCCCTGAATCATATCGGTATCAACAATGTAAAACCTTTAAAACTTCATATTCTTCAATAAAAATTTGAAAAAGATTCTAAATCTATTATTGACTTTTTTTATTGTGAACTAAATAAGATTTTATGGTGAAATCATATAAGATCAAATAATAGTTAAAAAAAAAGTGTTATTGAGTTTATCATTGATTTTTTTCTCAAAAGTCAAACAATGAATCTATCACTGATTTTTTTCTCAAAAATCTCTTTTATTGTGAACCAAATGAAATAAGACCTAATAGATCAAACAATAGTATAAAAAGTTTTATAAAATTTATTTTCAAAATTTGATATGATTTCTACTTCCAAGCTAAAGATATAAGTATATTATCTATTGATAAATTAATGTGTTTGCTTTTAGTTTATGAACAAAAATGAATACATAGATTAAAAAAATGATCAATAAAAAAATTCAAAAATCATTTCTTAAAAGAGAGATCAAAATGTTAAAGGTCATGAATGATCTGGCACTCGAGGCAAGAAACGAGGTTGGATCAAATGAGAATAAGAAGAACTAAAATGAAGGTAATAAAGAAACTTATTAATAAAATTTATTATAAAAAAATGGACATATTAAAAAATAGTATTGATAAAAAAATAAAAATCTAAATATTTCTTTCTACTTTCACTGAAAAAGTAAGACCATCTTGAAAAAGATTGTTGGAATAAAAATCAAGCAAATTATCATGAATAAAAAAATAAAAAAAAAAATTTTCTTTATGACATCTAATAAAGAATATTCTGTCTATTTGGTTTTTGAATAGTTGATATAGTAATCAAATTTATTTCAAAAGTTTATTTCAAAAGTATGATGATTCAATCAAATTTATAATACAAATGAAAAATAATAATAATACTTAGGTGGAAGGAAAAAGAACAATTGCTATAAACACCAAATCTGATGAAAAATTTATTAATAATGTGATGTTTATTTTTGATTTAAAATAAAATCTCATTAGTATAAGATAACTAATGAGAAAATGATATTATATTATTTTTTATGATGAAAAATTTTGATTTATGATAAGAAAACTGAAAAATTGATAGTAACTATAAGGATAATAAAAACAAATTTATTATTTTCGGATTTCTCTTTACATACATTTACTACTACTATTATTGATGAATTGATATTATGATATAAAAGATATGATCATCTGAATTGTGATGGATTAAAATTATTAAGTTAGAAGAATATAATAATTAGTTTATCTAAAATTAAAAATAAAGATACTATTTGTGAATGATATATTTTTTAAAGGAAGCACAAAAATTCCTCTCAAATAAGTCATTCTTGAAGAGTTAAAAACCAATGAAACTAGTGCATGTAGACAATGCAAACTATCTGATATAAATATTTTTTTATTATTTATAGATAATTACATAAGGATCACGAGGGTATATTTTTTGAAAGGAAAAACTAAAACCTTTTTTTTCAAAATTTTCAAAACATATATAAAAAAAATAAAATAATTATTTTATTAAAACTTTATGTACTAACAGACGAAGTGAATTCACTTACACTTTTTTATTTTTTACAAGAATGTAGGCATTCATATAGATTTGATTATAAGCTACACCCTCAACAAAATGAAGTAGCATAATGAAAAAATCGAGTTGTAGTCGAGACCGCTGAAAGGGCACATTTTAGTATAGCCCATGTGGACTCAGGCAAATAGACACGATGATACAAACGTGGAACTTCAAGTCCGATGTGGCGTGTAAGACACACATGGCGGGCAATCGCTCGTCGCCCCTTCCATACAAATGACATCATCATGGTATAGTCGTCCCGGAAAGCTTGGGGCGGCATCGCGCGGCTTTGATCCATGCAAGTCAGTCGGCGCTCGCAAAGAAGCTTAAGTCAGTCGTCCGAGAAGCCAGTTGCAGTTAATGGACCCTATACGTCCAACTTATCCTCGTAAGTATAAAAGCTAACCCTCCTTGATCAAGAGAGAGGGTTCAAACACTCAACTCCCCCTAAATCCACTCAACACTAATTTGAACTTCAAAGGGGTCGAGTCGAAAAATCCCCCTCCCGACCTCGACCTTTGTGCAAGAACCAGCAAAGAAGAAGCAGCAACCCACCGAGGGAGAACCACACTTGGGAGACGATGCTTGAACCCAATCTGACCTGATGTCGACGGACCCGAGCATCCGCATGGGCAACCTTACGCATCCGGGACTAAACCAAGATATGCTGACACCTCGACCATGACGTAAAGGTTCACCAATATTTTGACACTAGAAGGAGGGCGTATCTTGACCAACCTCGAGCTCAACCCGACTTCGACGAAGGTCTCATCCCCAGGACAATCCTGGACATCGACAATCAGACTAAACCATATAGGCTCTTTAACCACGGCAAAAAATTATATTTTATATTTTTTAATTAATATAAATAGATTTTTTGGATGAATGCAAAATATTATATATTAAAAATGCTTCTTGCTATTTATACTCTCTTCTCTACGATCTTCTTGAAATTCTACAGAAAACCAACTAGCCTCTGTGTTTTTCATCCATTGACCACGATATACCCGCCCATGCTACGTCAATCAGTCGGCCCCGCTCTCGTCCTCGATATGTTGAAAGCACACCATACATGACTCACAATTTATGTCACACTTCATTTATATTCTCCATGTTGGATTTAGCTTGTCCAGATGATACCATGGGTGATCATATCATCGAAAAATAAATAAATAAATAAATAAATTCTCAATTTTATCTCTGAGTACATGCTCAAGTAAAATGGAATTATGGCAAACTTGAATCTTAGGTTTAGAAAGTTGGATCATGCTTTCTTGCAAAGAATTTAATGTAGAGAAGAGAGTCACCATCCAGTTTTTGATATGGAAAGATACCACAATCATTTCTTTCTGATTACCTACTTTCAATTATGCTCTCCACGTTGGATTCAACTAGCTTGGATCACAACTGCGATGATTAAATCACCAAAAACTTTAAAAAATCAAATAAAATAACTTACCATGAAAAAAGGAAAAGAAAACCTCAGTTGTAAAGAGTATAGATAATCAAAATAAAATAAAAATGACAAAAGATATCATTCTTTATAAGAGCTTCCATGAAATGGTTTTATGACACAAATCATGTTTATTAGAAACGGAAGTTATCGATTGTGATGTGCCATCCAATAAGAAATTTTTTTATGTGATTGAAATTATATCAGGTTATTAAGCACATTTTTTGAAAGAGAAATACGATCTTGATTGGCTACGTTTTTAGAAATCCGCAACATTGTTTTCCTTTGGTATGTAGACCGGACATCACGTACATCACTCTCTTGCAATTGACCGTTTGCCCCCACAGGATGGGATATTTGGAAAGAAGAATAGGAAGGAAAAGCTTGCCTATAGAAGGACTACAAGGGAGTCTTACTGTCTGTCTATCTATCTGACGCGTGCATTTCCAATTGCTTGGCAACAAGTTGCATGACTCTGAGAATCTCATTTCATTAATTTCATCATTTCGTTTCATTTAAACATGAAAAGATTTGCTTGTAGATCTTTCCGTTTGGTTCGACATCATAGATTCATATATCTGTTGAACTTTCGGCATACCAAATCTTAGGTACCCACGAGATTTGTAGATAGAAGAGGGGAAGAAGCAAAAAAAGAAATGGACCGCGAACTGTTAGAGGCAGCAACCTCAGGAGACGTAAAGTACGTGCAAGATGCAAGGGGCACTCTTGTTAGCAAGGTCACGGTCAACGGGAATTCAGTGCTCCACATCGCAGCAAAGCTCGGTCTCTTGGAGCTTGCAGAAGCTGTATGCCGTAAGGAGTTCTCCCTCCTGAGGTTGTCCAACTCTCGAGGAGACACCCCCACTGCACCGTACGACAGCAGCTGGCCGTGTAGACATTGTGAGACTCTTTGTGGATCACGCGAGGCCTTTTACCTTTGCAAGGAGCAGGCCTGCCGTGGATGGTGAATAAATCCTGTGGGGTAACCACTCCGGGAGCTCACATACGCCATGTGTGCATTGCAAATCCAGCTACTGACATATATAAATCTTGAAGCATTCAAACAAGAGTTCAAAATGGAAAGAGAAAATTGTTATATTGTACTTTATGCTTTTTACGTGACAGATATAACAAAAATGAACATGAAGATGCCACCAAAAGCACTCCTTTCCACTTTGCAGCGGCCCACGGTGATACGAGGATGGTACAGCTGCTACTTCGATCCAAACCCTCCGCCGCTTACGTCCAGGATGAAGATGGATTCTCAGCTATCCATGTTGCAGCAAGTGCAGGACATCCGAAAATAATTCAAGAACTACTGAGGCACTGTCCTGATTTCATGGAACACAAGCATAACAAAGGCCGGAACTTTCTACGCGTGACAATCGAGAAGAAAAAGTTAGAGGTGGTAAAGTATGTGCTAAAATCCCCATCACTCGGGGGACTTGTGAACGAACAAGATGATGAAGGAAACACACCCTTACATTTAGCAGTCACCTCACGGAACGAGGACATCATTCGATGTTTATTGTCCAGTGGAAGTGCAGACGGTAACGTCACCAATGACTTGGGATATACTCTTCTCGGCGTTGCTTCGTCCCGTATCACAACCGTGTCACAACACGCATCGGTTGAGCATTGGAACTACAAAGGAGTCGAATTAGCTATCGTTTGTGCATCTTATCAATGTCTGTATGGTTCATATGTAGGATTTATGTTGAAAACAAGTTCAAATGCTCGTTTACATATTTCAGTTTCTTTTGAGGAAGCATAGCTACTCCATTTTATCAAAATTATACACACACACACACATCTGCTTCCCCTATCCATCTAATTAGCTGATACTAACATATTTCATCTTGTTCTTCGAGTCTTCTTTTTTTCTCTTCATTTTTCATCCTGTATTTTGCTCCTTTTTTACTGCTACCGAAAGGGTGTTGTCCGGGATTTTTCATGTCTTCTTGGTCATTTTTAAAGCCTACAAAGGGTAGGTTGCAGGCAATATGAAGTTGGAATGAGTTCTGATCAGGCTTGATTGAGCTACAAGTAATAGAACGTTAAGATTAACCTTAGGTTAAGAATTAAGATGTTCAAATTTCTTTTGATCAATTTAACCTAGTGTTTTAGATATATTTTGGATTACAAATGTTGGGTTAGTTTATAAGTGTATTTTGTCCAAAATAATAATAATAATAATAATAATAATAATAATAATAATAATAATAATATAGTTTCCTATTTTATTGTTAGAAAATTATCGTTACAATTGTTGGGCTGACAGCTGATGGTTCAGCGCATAGTGAGCTTGAATAGTCCATAACCCATCTTCTCTCTTAACCTAATCTTAATGTATGGTAATTACGAAAATAAATATAAATAAGGCAGAAGTGGAGATCTTGACAAAAACGTGATTCTTACTGTGATTACTTGGAGAGAATTATGGAGTATTTAGAATTTTATGCACAGTAACGTGATCTTTGTATCCCAGTTATTCTCTTGTAATTGTTGCTAGGGTTTTAGGCAAAGGATTGAGATTTATATATTCATTATTCTTATAGTAGATTATCTCTAGTTTGCCCCTGGTTTTTATCCTTCACATTGGATGGGTTTCCACGTATATCTTGATGCTCTATTTGATTATGATTCTATTTAATTTCGCTGGCCTGTTAGTATTTATATCCCATCAACAATAATATGACCCATTATTATTATTTTAAAACTAAAATATGATTTACTAATTTTGAGCTAAATTTGATTATAAAAAAAATAATACAGATGTTAGGCTAAGTGGGCAAGACAGGATTCGAAAACAATAAAAATTGATCCTATTACATGTATCTTAAAAAGTGGATCGAACTGTTAAATTATTCTTAGCAAAATATGGAACCGTTAAATCAAGTCAAAGTATAAGACATGATTTGATTTAGCTTTATGATGCAACCTTATTCGTTACGTTTCTCTTGTTGTATTTTACTGGTTCTAATTCGAGAGAAATTGCACCCACGTACTTATAACCTTACAATCATTCTATGGTCCGCTTAATGAGTGTATCCTAAGTTAAATTCTGAAGTCGAGTACTTGTGGGATTTAGTTTGTCCTTGGAAAGCTTACTTGGCTGTCGATGAAATTAATTGTCCTCTTCGTGAGACGTCACGTACCAAAACCAACCCCATAATTTTTTCGTACGATCCGAGTCTTTCCCACGTGCTACACAAATAAACGCTGAACGCGGAAGTTGAGGTGTGAGAGGGAGTCTGCGAAGTCAGGCCGCTGCGCCCGTGAATCAGATGGCAGCGGTCCGGCAGCGGTCCGGCAGCGGACTTCAAAAAGTATTTCGAATTCTCGAATCAAAAAATCTTTCATAAATTTTCATAAAATAGTCTAATTTCAAAAAAATTCTGTAAATTTTTTTTTCATAAATAACATTTTTACCATAATCTATCTTGGCTGTCGCTACGCACTATCTCCATCATCATATTTTCTTCTTTTATCTTGTTGAATATATTATGAAAAAGATTATCATGATTATTGTCATGCCTTCTCCTTGTTCATGCATGAACGATGATGATGAATGTAATCGTACTAATGGTACGAACAATGATAGATCTACGTAAAAATGATGAATATGATATAAGAAAAGTATCCAACAAATATAAAAAAAATAAAATAATTTTTTATACGATGAAAAATACTCTATAATTTTAAAAAAAATTAAGATGCTACGTAGAAATTTATCTATGGGAGCTTTTTTTTTCGAAAATTCGTCCTAACTTTTATTTGCCATCGATATTTTTTTGAATTTGAACGTGGGCGCGTAATTACTACGTCGTACGTAACAATTGGCCTTCAGATGCCAGATAGCAGGAGCTCCCGCACATGCCTTGTGCATTGGTATGCCCCCACCTCCCCTTACGTCCGCCCTCGCACGTAAAACGCATCACGACAGACGTAACATCTCGACAAGGTCCGCACCGACCGAAGCAGCACACTTGGTCTCGCCCTCTCCTTCCCTTCGCCAAAGTTTCACTGTCTCCTCTCGCTAACGTCTTGCCGATCAGAATACAGAATCACACGATGTTCTTTCTCTTTCTGTTGATCTGCTGGTCCTCTTTTAGCTCCGACTCTCGAGCTGCAGACTACGTCAAGCTCCCCGTCTTTCGCCAGTCTCCCTTCCCAACCGCCCGCGAAGCTCTGGCCTTCGACTCTGTCCGTCTCTCTTTCTTTTCCTCCTCTTCCTCCATCTCTAATGCTTCTGCCTCTCATCCTCCTCCTCCCGCGGCGCTCTCGGCTCCCGTGGTGTCCGGCGCGTCGTCCGGCGCCGGCCAGTACTTCGTGGACTTGCATCTCGGCACGCCGCCGCAACGCCTCCGCCTCGTTGCTGACACTGGCAGCGACCTCGTCTGGGCCCGCTGCTCCGCCTGCCGCGACTGCTCTCGCCACCCTCCCGTCACCGCCTTCTTCCCCCGCCACTCCTCGTCCTTCCGCCCGTACCACTGCTACCACCCGGCGTGCCGCCTCGTCCCCCACCCCCGCTCCTCTTCCCACGACGCTGCCCCTCCTTGCCGCCGTCAACCGCTCCACTCCCCCTGTCGCTACCGCTACTCATACGCCGACCGCTCCTCCTCGGCTGGTTTCTTCTCTCGCGACATCGCAACCCTCAACTCCACCTCTGCCGGGTTCCTCCGCCTCCACTCTCTTCCCTTCGGCTGCGCCTTCAACGTCACCTCTCCCGCCGGCTCCGAAGCACCGCGCGGCGTCCTGGGCCTCGGGCGCGGCCCCATCTCTTTCCCGTCCCGCGCTGCCCGCCGCTTCGGCGACGTCTTCTCCTACTGCCTCATGGACTACACCCTCTCCCCGCCCCCAACCAGCTTCCTCCTCATCGGCGCCGCCGCTCACACCACGCTCGCGCCCAAGAACCTCTCCTTCACCCCGCTCCTCACCAACCCGCTCTCACCTACCTTCTACTACGTCCGCGTCCTCGGTGTCTCCGTCGACAGCGAACCCCTCCGCGTCGACCCCTCCGTGTGGGCCCTCGACCACGCCACCGGCATCGGCGGCACCGTCGTGGACTCCGGCACCACGCTCTCCTTCGTACCCGAGGCGGCGTACCGCGAGATCGTGCGGGCGATGACGGGGCGCCTACCGCCAGCAGCGATAGTCCGGGGCCCACCAGAGTTCGACCTGTGCGTGAATGCGTCGGCGGAGGCGACTAAGCGCGTCCCGCGGCTGGCGTTCCGGCTGCTGGGCGGGACAGAACTAGCACCGCCGGCGGGGAACTACTTCATCGACGCGGCGGACGGGGTGCGGTGCCTGGCGATGCAGCCGGTGAGTGCAGCCGGGCCGGGCTTCGGGGTCATCGGCAACCTTATGCAGCAGGGCTTCCTCCTCGTCTTCGACCGTCGCGCCCACCGGCTCGGCTTCTCTCGCACTGGCTGTACCGACGCCTAATCAAATTATGATAAGCTGAACCGGTCCGGTTTATTTGGCCTCTTTCTGTGCGCACTTTTGAAGCTCTTTTTTCTCCGGCATCGGTTTTTTTACCATGTAAGGCAATTTAAAATGGCGGAGTGCGGTGGAGAAGAGAACGACGGGATTCGGGAGAGGGTTTTGTTGTGAACTGCAGACCATAGCGAGTGGAGTCACGAGTATGTACTTAAACGGAGGAGCTGTCATCCGTCTGTCATGTTGTCCGAGATCTTTACCACTGTAGCTACAATATAAATCATCATCGTTTTTCTCTCTTCAAGATGAAGCCGGGGAACATTTCGGGGTGGCGAGTGAATGCGATTCGACAGAGGAAACAGGAAGGTGGGCCTGCTCAGTGGGGATGAGTGCTTTGCCTGTCGATGGTCGATGGATAGATTTGCACTTCGTGATGATTGCCTGTCAATAAAGGACGGTAACGCGGTGAGGAAGATGAGTTCCGTGCCTAGTCGCTATCCGCTATCTGTTTGCATTGTTGAAAGCTACTCGACTGCCATCATTTGCTTCGTTCGGCTTCTCTTTTGTTGGCATGTACATGCACCTGTGGGGGCATACGTGTTGCTGTACTCTTTTTGTTCTCTGGGAGAGGTCGGTGACGGAACTCTTCTTGACGTGGTTGCGTATCGTTAGGTTAACGGATCAATGATGTATATACTGACTAATCGGAAACTTATTCCGGCATCTTTAATGAAGCAAATTTAAACTCCACACTTCTTCCGTACATTCGTCTATCTATCTTACCTGACTGTGTACTCATCTCAGATCTGCTCAAAAGATGAGCCAGGGAGGAACCAAATCCCAACCTGAGCTCAAGCTTGTGTTTGACCGCGTAACTCACTTCGTACGAGATTCTATTCAAACATACTCAAACAGGAATTTATTTGCTTTACTTTCGTAGTAACGAGATTCATCATAATTTATAGAATTAAATTAGATAAAAACGAATTCTTCCATTAGTACTCTTTCATTTTTTATGATAATATAGAAGATCGTAGAACCAAAATGACACACAGAAATAAAGTTTTAGCGATCATCAATATCTCTATTGCAAACCATTCAACGAATTGCATTGGAATTTTGGAGCTATGCTTTTAATGTACGCTTTAAGATAGACCTAATTAAAAGAAGGTTGTCAGTATTATTTCGCTGATTAACTCTAACGATATAGGAAAACACGGCCAAATGACGTATTGAGTAATTTAATGATCCAAAGACATTGGGGAGAATATGCCTTCGCCTAATGCGCCCAAATTAACCCGACCCAATCTATCTGAACTCGACTACAAATTAAGCTTGCATTGGGTTCGGTTGGCTCATTTCACAATGTCATTTGCATGTGCAGACCAACAATTAACTATACAATTTCTTCTTATCCTCTTTTATAAACCAAAACACTCTCATTTTGGCTTTGTTGAACAGTAAATTCTAATTGTCATGTTGACCGTCGTCGCCATTATCATTGATTCTCTTTGTCATGATCTCAGATTATGCTTTAGGCCCATAAAAATGTTGAGATAGTTTGCCAACAGACGTAAAGCAAATCATGGGAAAGAATGAAAGAGAAATGCACAAAGAATTCAACTAAACCTTGATCACTCAATCTGTATTGACACCACTCGCAGAATACATACACAGAAAAAAAAAAAGTATCAAATGAACTTATCTTAACCTATCATAGATTGCATCTCCAAATACAGGATTCAGAGGTAATTTAAGTCGGCTTGATGTTTGAGCAATCGCCATGGTAGTGAGCCTTCATAGCATATCTATCATCTTCCAGCCACTCGCGTACTTCTTCTTTGATTCGAGTTTAGAATGATTATTTAACTTGCTGGTTCTTTTTAAGCTTCGCTGAGATCTTGCTAAATCTAAAGAAGAACAAGGAAGTATACGGCGTATCTTTCTTGTCCTCAACATGGTCCAACTCCGTATAGGGTCCACGATCCGCTTCCCAGGAAGTGAACCCTCCACCCAAAGCTCCTCTGAATCATTTCCAGCTCATCTTCCTCATCGGAAGCTGTGTTCGAACAACCAAAAACATCGTCTTTCACAAACTTTGTATTCCCTTTGTTAACTTCTTCAGCAAACTCATTATTTTATGCTGCTGCTGTCTCAAGCTGAGTGCACCCTCTGCTGTTCCGAGCTGTAAACCAGTGGCGTGGTCTCAACGAGGTTGCCTTTCTTCTTGGACTCCGGAGCAGCATGATAGGACGATGATTGACACTTGGCTCGGCACTGCCACTGCACTAAGCTCGATATATTGCATCCAAAAGCCTCCCGTAGGATTCCGTCACTTTGCTTGGCTGAGACGGATTAGATTTCCAAGCCATCCGATTGGTCGACCGTACCGTGAGCACGTGGACTCGACTACTCTGAATCGGCGGGGTTGTTGATTAAGCACTATAAAAAGGTGCAAACTTGTCGGAATTAGAGTAATCAGGTTCTCGCTGTCAAGTGTTACTGCAAAGTCCGATGGTGCCATGATGTTTGCCTATGACCTGCTGCATATAAAATATGCATGGCATCCTTGGCCCTTCTTTTATATTGTCCTCCATGCTGTAAAGTTCCGCTGAGAAGTGAGCTCGACGAAGGTGTGCTACATATCACAAGGTTTCATTCATGTCTTCACGTTGCATGTAGCCAACTAGGGTTTTGACACGTAGAGAAACTTTAAGATCTTGGTTCGAATGAACAGCGTTTTGTTATATTTGTAGTTTGGAAGCACCATCTAACGATAGAAGCAATTAGACGTTGTATGTATTATGCTATGTTCTAACTTTCAGCGATATGATAGGTTTATTTTCTAAGCCAATGCAAAATTTAGTTCTTCATGTAACATTTTGGCAAGTGGTAATTCTCCGCCTGAGAGAAGAGATCACCTAATACGAACGTATTATTGTTCTGAATAAGGAAAACCCCTAATTATTATCGTTATCTTTCTGTAGCGACAATGTTCGATTCTTATTTTTTTTTGTCAATAAACTAAATTGCTTTATTACCATGGAACTTTCCTACTTTGTGAACGTTCCTAGCTTGATTTAAAGTAAGCTGTATGGACTAATCATTTGTCTTCACGATTCGATTGGCTCACTTCGTTGAGGCTTAAATTAGGATTTCTATTCTCAATAGGTTTTTGTATTATATTGATTGTATTTGAGAACATATTTTATTTTATTAATATGTATTTGAAGAAAAGAGTATGAGTGAATATACAGTTATAAAATGCTTGAGCATTTAATAAATAGGATATAAAAATTATATTTTAGATGTGCATTGATGTAAATATACATATATAAAATAAAATATTATATATATTAAAAAAAATTGCATGGTCCAAAGTAGGAAACTCGGTTAAGTAGATGGAGCAGGCGACCCGATGAAACAAATGGCCTGATGAACTTGTAAGAGGAGTCGGCAATGATAGAAATCGAGAAAAGTAGAAAGAAAATGAGGGTTAGGATTTCTATTATCTAGTGACAATCTTGTGATTTCAGATAATTCCATAGAATATTTTAAAATTTTAAAAAAAATTCATTAAGATTCCACAAATGCTAAAATGCTAATGATACCCTAAGATAACTTCAACATTTGAGCATTTATAAAATAGTATCCAGATAAAATATAATTTGAAAAAAAAAATCAAACACCAATTCACATTTGAATATACATTATGCCCTTAATATACATTTTGAATATGTTTATAAAGGCAGCCAATATTAATGAGTAACTTAGCCTACTAGAGATAAAATTTGGAAAGTACATGTTATCACAGTATTTACGTTTTTATTTTGTTATCGATACTACCAAATGATTGCTCAAAAATGATAGGATTTTTAATTAATAGAGAAACTTAGCTTATGTAGCTAATAAGTCGTGTAATTAGTTCATCATACCTTTCTACATTTTCTAAGATTTAATGCAAGTTAACATGATTCCAGGAAGAGTTGGCTGGCTTACACGAAAACAGCCAACAATACTGACGCAATTAGCAAAATCAAAGTTCATTTTGTCGGCCATCGCTATAATTTTATTATATATAAAGAAGTAAAGTCAAGCATCGATTCATGTCAAATTCCTCATATAAAATGGACAGTTCAAGGCGTATCATATCTTTGTTTAGCAAAGCATAAGGAGAAAATTATTACTATGCAATTCATCCACTTGAGTTATACGTGGGTTTTGACTAAGGAATCTAATCTTCCACCCAAATCTCATATGGTCAACTAATTGGCTAATGTTTTTGGATTTGAAATCGCTAAATACAATTTTTGTCCAAAAATGAAGATTTTGATTCCAATCAAAAGATATTCAAAGTGGCTTATAAAACATAAGTTTTCTAGTGAATTTTGAAGAATAGTAGTAACATAAACTAGACTATTATAACTTGGTACATGTGAAATCTAACTAATTTATACATGTAATAATTCGATTAATCTTATAGTAGAAATAGATAAGATTAAAATTGACTTATGAGGATTTGGTGAGTGTATCATTTTCAATTTTAATTTAGATATATATATTATAATTTTTTTTACTTCTTTATTCATTCAACATGCTAACTAAGCTCAACGATTCTCTTCGAATAATACACGAGTTTTATGTCTTTGTCCACGCTTCTTAAGACAGAAACAAATCTTATATTTTATAGTCTAGTGATCCATCAACAGGTGATTGGTGAGCTGTAAACATCAGAGAATATATCTTTTATTATTTTATAGTCTTATATTTTCTTTTCGAAGGAACCCCATCTCGGAACTTGTGCACCAAACCTTTGATCAGATGGTCGGTCCACTACTGAAATCGAGTATGCACAATTATATAATGGAATCTTAATCAGCACACGCAAAGATATACAATATACAATCAAATTCCAAGGCTAATAATATAAGCGAGCATGCATTAATTACTTGACTCGTCCATACTTCTTGAAAAGATGAGTGTCTACCCGATGATCCTTCCGATACAATGCCATTTGTAACATTAATAATATATAAATTGGTATGGGTAAAGACTTCAGCTACCAAAACACCTGTCTAAAATGCTTTAGTTTGCATGCCAAAATTCTCTTAACGACCAAGAAAAGATTAGGCGTCCGTCTCCGGGCCCGCGCGGGGCCCGCGAGCAATGCGGTCGCACCTTTTCTGCTTCCGCCTCCGGTTTTCTGACAAGAGAAGGGGAGCCGAAACCGCAGGAAATCAAATGCCGAGGCAAATGTGCTTCGATTCGACCCCCTGCGCACGATGGGATGCACGAACGAATCCGTCAAATCAGGTAACGGAGGGGTGGTTTGGTTTAAGCTTTCTCCTTCTCTTAGGGCTGGCCTTTTTTGCATAAGATATACTGAGCAGAGAGACAGCGCTGACCTAAAAGGTGGCATCCCCACAAAATAAAGAGGGAGAGAGAGAGAGAGAGAGAGAGAGAGGGGTAATCAAGAGCTCCAGTTCAGTATTTTCCTCATCCTCCTCTCCGGCTACAGGTTTGTACGCGTCTCTTCCTCTTGTTTATAATCATCTCTTCCATCTCTGTTTTAACTGGTGATATGTTGTTGAGGTGGTCAGAGGGAGGAGGAATATGGGGAGAGGGAAGATCGTGATCCGCAGGATTGATAACTCCGCAAGTCGGCAGGTGACCTTCTCGAAGAGGAGGAACGGGTTACTGAAGAAGGCCAAGGAGCTTGCCATCCTTTGCGATGCTGAGGTCGGTGTGGTGGTGTTCTCCGGCACCGGCCGACTCTATGATTACGCCAGCACCAGGTTCTCTCTCTCTCTCTCTCTCTCTCTCTCTCTCTCTCTCTCTCTCTCTCTCCGCTTAAACTGATCTAAAGAGGTTCTGCTTATACTTGTCTTGGTAATAGGGACGTTAGTGTTAGGGCTTGGTTGGGGAAAACGTGTGCTTGCTTGTTATGCCACTACTAGACCCCTTTTAGTGGGTTTGGCGACGAGATCTGAAGCGAGTTGAAGTCGGGGAAAGAGAACAAATGTGGATCCGGTTCTCTCAACACTGGTCGTTCTTCAACTACGACACAACTCCATGTGTTAGAGATATTTATACTCGATGTAGACTTCTTAGGCACTGTCTCAGACTTCACCACTATGGAGACGACGAAATGATGTTACCTTCATCTCTATAGTAACAACAACTAGGACAGTTCTTGTAACTTGGTGATCATTTGACGTAGATGATAGCGCAAGAATCCCCGGGATGCATATGAATAAAGAAGAGCCATAGTTCACGTAAAAGGGTTTGATTAAGCTGTTTGTGTCTGAGTGATTATAGCTCAGTTTTTTCCCTTCTCTCTTTGCCTTTATGCTGTCTAAATTGGTGCAAAAATCTGAAGGTTGTCAATTTTAGTCTCAGCCTCTCATCTTTAGTACATATGTAACCAACTAAATCAGATAATTAAATATGCAAAATGGTATGATGAAAGGCAATGATTGTGTTGACAAAACTTGGAGATTGGATTCTTGATATGATAACGAGGAAAAGTAGGTTAGCAGGCAATATTTCTTTGTGTTTGAATTGCTTTTTCCTACCTCTGAGGAAAGATAGACGTTTAAGTTGGATGATACAAGAATAGATCGATCATGCTGTAGTTTCATGATCTAGTAATTTGAACTAGTTAAACAAATAAGCTCTCACTCAAATTGGTTGGTTACTTTGGCAAACATGTTGTACACCTTAAGATGTGTGTATACTACTGTGTTAGCTGAAACTTAATTTCTTTACCTCATTCAGATCTGCTAGTTATCAGCATGATATTTTGTGGACATAGAAGAACTGTTGGATCTTTTGGGCGAGTTAATTAATCTACAGCAATGTTTGCTAGATCGATTGCTTCTGTCGAATCTTAAATTGGAGTAGTTGTCTTGTTATATCACACAACTATAAGCTGATGAGTTGTCTAGTTCTGTATCTCGAGTTTATTCCTATCTCGCTTGTTTTCAGTGTCATGAATGCTCCTTTACTTCAGTCACATAGTCAAAATACTAAAGACTAATGTAAACATTTAAAAGAAATATTTAATCACTTTGAACACTGTGTCACTTTGAAATCTCATGTTTCATTAGCATATATGTTTGCTCTTTGTTTTCCATTAATCTCACCATTCTACAGTTTAATAGTCTGTCAAAAACAATTTAAACTTCATTGAATTAAAAGATGGAACACCTTAATGACAATCCACCCTGGAGTTTGTTGTCCTATCCAATATTCACATTCGGAATAAGCATGTACATAAACATAGTGGTTTTAGGACATTCAGAATAAAATATTGGTTATCAACATATAGGAGAAGAAACCATTTTGGCTGTATTCCGAAAAGGAGATACATTTTCTCAAGTCATGAACACTTCCACAGATATTGATGATCACTTTTAAAGCATGACCTTCGTTTTCACGTCTATCTTAATCCTAAATTTGTGGTATACTTTGCTTTCTTTATGGCAAAAGTACATGCAGGGAGGAATACGGTGTAATAACATATTCGTACATAGATGGACATTATATTTTTGTGTCGTGTGCTTGTAGATCTCTTCAATATCTCAAAAATAAATTCTCTTATTATTACTATAGAAAAAAAAGGAATGTGTTTTTGTTTTCAAGTAGTTTTTGTTTTTTCACAATCTTTGAGTGGTTGAATAAAACCATTTATTTTGCATTTGAGTGAAGGGAGGACCTCTTAATTATAAATTCGGACAATACAAAAACAAAATCGTAAAGCCCTAACTATTTGGTATCTACTACATAAAATGAATATGAAAACTTAAATAGTTTCACATACAAACTAAAAGGAAGAAAAAAAAATTTTTTCTTGTGTATGTATGTATGTATATGTGTACGTGTGTATATGTGTTATACGTATGTATGTATGTATGCTTTTAGTTTTAAAATTATCAATTATATAGATAAAATCAGTGAGAGAAAACTTATATAGGTAAAATCTGTGAGAGGAAACTTGATATGGATGATTATAATCAACGCTGTTCAGTGAAAGGAAATGTCTAATTGATGAACTTTATTAAGTTGTACGTTCCCTCCTTTAGTTTTAAAATTGTCAATTATATAGGTAAAATCTGTGAGAGGAAACTTGATATGGATGATTATAACCAATGCTGTTCAGTGAATGGAAATGTCTAATTGATGAACTTTATTAAGCTGGGCATTCCCTAAAGTCAAATTTTGATGTCAATAAACAAATGCTTGCTACACCTGTCAATGGTCTTGCAATAAACCATTTCATTGGCCTGACCAATTTATAGACCTCAATTAAAGAGGTTTAGAACCCTAGATCGTTAAATGTTTATGCATTTATGTCTGCGGTTGTGATAGGATTGTAAATTATCATGAAATCGAGATAAATTAGATTTTATTGTTTTAGAATAGTGCTATGTCTACAATGTATTTAACTGCATTATTAATATTGTGGGAGTGGATTGGAAAGGTGAGGCTTCCTTCATTTGCTTTCAATTCAAGTAGACACTGAGAAGCCAACTGCGACTCTACCAAATGCATGATTCCAGAAACAATATGGTGTGTATAATTAGCAATTAGAGGGGAGTGTGTAAGTGGGAGTTCCAGTTGTTAGAATCCTTCGTCTGTCATTGTATATCTAACTTCATTCAGTGAGTTATTCTAACCTGCCACTTCCCTAAGATGAAATATAGGAATTTGTAGAAGTTTCAGTTTCTCCATATAGCCAGTTACTCTGACATCAGTTTTAGGACAATGGAACACAATATATAATAAATCAGTTATGTATTCAGATCATAAAAAAAGTAAAATGTGAGCATAAGTTAGTAATCTTTATGTTATGTAATTTATTTATATTTTATGACAATAAGCTTCCTTTTTTTTTTCTCTATTTGGTGACAGAAAACTTCTTTACCTTAGTTTGATTGATCCTCTGTCTTCTCAATATGCAAGCCAGTTACAACTAATCTTATTTTACACTCATCATATACAATGCATATGTTTCTCATGTGTAACAATTGTATAAAATGTCAAAATTAAAGTTAATATAAGGTACTTGTGCAGCATGAAGTCTGTGATAGAAAGGTATACTAGGGCAAAGGCAGAGAACCATCTGATTCTGGACACAGCTTCAGAAATAAAGGTATGTTTTATCCTCAATCATAACAAGTATTTTTTTACTATAGATTTGTATGTTTGTAACCTCCTTGGTTAATTAACTCTGCTCATTTCATCATCATGTTATCCTATTAGGGTACAACCAAAATAACTTTTCCATGAAAGGTAATACGCAAGCAGTCTACAAATATATTTTATAGTTCTATTAACCTTTTTCTTTTTTTCGAAAAAAAAATTTCTTTGCTTTTTGGGTCATATAAAGGTTTGGTAACCCTTTAGTTAGATTATTTTAAGGAATATGTGTTTAAGCTATCTTAAGAAAGTCATTTTTTACAGAAAAAGAAAGTATGCTTAACTAATGTGAAAGTACATCTAATTTTACTTCGAGTAATATCACATGAGAGGAAATAAATTTTCTTGAATAAACAAATCCCGTTACATGAGAGAGAAAAAAGCTGTATAAATACCTCTTCACGCCTTCTCTTAAGGTTGTGGAGGTGATATTTATGCTTGGGATTCACCCCACTGTTAAAGGACTTCTCTAAATCATCCTTTCACCCTCTTGTTAAGCAGCAACTTCTCTCTTTTACAACTAAATTGGTTGAAGATGTAGAATGGTTAAAAGTTCAAGGATTTCACAATTCAAAACAATAGTTAGATTCTTGAAACAACCACTTTTGACACTCTTAGATACCATGCTCAATATCCTGATGAGGTAATAATGGAGGCCCTAGGTCTTCCATCCAGCTGAGAAATAGTGTACCAACAAGATTTTCGCCATGAGAGACGGTACAGTAGCTTTTTGGCAGTGCCACCATCAGATAGTTGTTGAAAATCAATGGTGCCACAACCTACAATAATGACTTCTGCCCTACTTAGGTGGTGCTACTAGCAACCTGGGCAATGAGTTTGGCAAGCAAGTAGGATAGTTTTAGGCGGTGATACCATATCAACAATTCCATCGGTCTCCCATTATCCATCGCGTGGTTGAATTCATTGAACATCTTCCGATGCCTCTTTATTCTTTAGAGTTCTTTTGGAATCAAACAGTTATTAAAGTAGAAAGGGTATCTAAGTTTTTACGATCATCATCCTCTTTGATTAAAAAAATAGCATATAAAATAACCATACGGTCAATTAGATTGAGGGTTAAAAATTAGAAACTATATGCACAAAAGAATGTTGAGATGGAGGCAAAGATTGATTGACAAAGGAGACCAATAGACTTGACTTCACGATGTAAGAAAGAGTGGAGGCAAAGATTGATTGACAAAAGATTTTACCAGAACCAATAAAAAATGATCTGAATGCTCTTGATTTAATTAGTGATATCACATATTTTATAACTAATGTGAGAAAAGATCCATAAAACCAATTTTGATAACTTATTGTTATACGCTAAAAGGCAGTGATTGTAAATATATGAAACCTGCTAAACTCAACTTACAATGATTGTTGAACATTAGGACGCCTATAATTAGATGGTTATATCCTTACCAATAAGCTCCCTTAGTTATACCCTTTGTCTTTGATAAGCTCCCTTAGTAATATCCTTCTCCAAGTCACACAAAGTTCAAGAAGAATATTAACAAATATGTAGCACAAACTAATGTTACAGATGACGAATGTTATCTGCTACCACTAAATATGTATGTTTCACAAGATTATGCCTATTGTAATAGTTAGTTATAATCCCAGCGTATGAAATACAACCTGCCAGAATTAGAAGGCAAAGTCGGACCAAATATTTTGTTGATAAAAAACAATCTATCTTGGTACTCTGGTTCGAGCTTGATACAGAATGACAGTGAATATGCCAGACATGAACAAACAATAGAACCAAGCATGAGCAGTTTAGAAAACCAAAAACCAAAAAAAACAAACAAAGAAATGAATGTATAATACAAGTTGATATCACAGTTATATGAGTACTGCTTATTCAGTAATTAATAGCAAGGTCCAGAGCTTCATGAATCTTTTATTACCATTGATCCCTGATTAGAGCAATATCTCTACTTCAATCAAGAGAATTCAAAATCTCTTTCTATTGTTTATGGTGAAGTTACCGCTTATTTCGTAATAAAGAATCAAACCAGCAGGAGCTACCAAAGACAGCATATCTCATTCCATATTACATATATGTCACATCTCAATCACAGCGAACACAATGAAGTGCAGGGACTGTGGCTACATCATTCCAGTTGGGAAGCAGTTGCCAATACTTAAATACAAAGTTGGCAATGCATAATAATCAAGGGTATGTTATAATAGGTGGTCAACATCTGTAGTTCATTCTGGAAGCTCTTGCAAGGCCACTGAGGGTTAGGCAAAAGAAGGTATCAGCCTCCATTGTGCTATCATAATCCATCTTGCAAAGATACCAGAATAGCAGCTTCAGTCCGTCTCTCAACTCAGTCATCAAAGCCATTTCATTTAGGTCAGTGCCCATTGACTCATTCAGTTCATTCTAAACAGACATTTAAATCTTCATGCCCATGAGATCGCATCTAATCCCAGAGAATGCAAAGTAAAATGCTCATTTAGACCCTATAGCTAGCTTTGACAGAAATGCTTGCTGCTCCACTCAGTAACAGATGTGTTGTCAAAAAGGCTAGGTGCTTTGCTGACAAACTATAAATTGCTCTTTACAATTTGAAAAAGCCAAAACTTATACAATCCAAACCTGCTCATAAAATCCAGACTTGCTGGAAAAAGTAACAAATGAAACAAAAGAAAATATTTTATGGCATTAAACTTTCAAAAGAAACAACACTACCATTTTCTTGCTGCTGATGTTGACTTCTATGATCCTTAGAACTTACATATAAGCAATTGAATTGATCAATCTGTGTCTTAAATCACTGCCTATGTGGTTTCTTGTCATATTTAGACAGATAAATATTGGCTTCTTGTTCTCACAAGACCTCAAAGGAGAGAACCAGCCACAACTACATTTTGCTTACAGTCATAGTCTCCTTTCAAGATACCGATACCGTGATGGCAGTTCAACAGACCAATATGGTTGAACGGTCCCACATGGCAAAGAAAATTTTGACAGAAACAGAGACGAAGACAAGAGGTAAATAGGGAAAGGATCATAAAGCTGTGCCAACAGAAATCTAGAGAAATCAACATATATTGATGGTGCTTTAGGAAATAAACAGCAAATAGTAGGAAATAGTTTTGTACGAACTAGATAATAGAATTTCAAAGATAATAATACAAGGCTTTTAAAATGTAGGATGAAGAAAGAAGACGTTCGGAATCTGAATGGGAGTAACTTCACTAAGATTAAGAGTGTGGTAAAGGAGATTGTTGAAGAATCTAAAGGTAGAAATGATGATCCAGGAAAAGCGTTGGTGGGATTAAAAAAATTCAGAAGGCCATTAATACAAAACATGCATTAAAGATTGGTAAAATCATAGAAACGAGAAGAATTTTAGAAGACATATAGTAGCTAAAAAGAGAAAAACTATATGGTTGGAAAAATAAAAAACATGAAAGTTTTTGCAGCAAGCTAAGTTCTAAGGATGGGGAAAAAGAAATTTATTAGATTGTAAAGCTACAGATAGAAAAAAAGGAGTTCAGTAAAATTAAATGTATAAAGATATAGATGAAAAGGTGCTTGTTAATTGTATGAACAATAACAAAATAAAACATTGTATTCATAAATTATTTAGCAAGCAATAGACAACTTAAGCCCTTATTTAATCCATAAAACATTATCATCCTTTCCTTAAAACCTTAATTCAATAGGCTTGAAAAACTGCATAATGTTTAATGATCTAAAATAAGCTTATATTTATCCCTCAAATCAAAATTTCTGTCACAAGCAATAAATTCTTTAGAAAATTTGTACATATTTATTGTAGTTTTGTGTATTGACTTACCTTACGATCCTCCAATGTGTTAAGATATAATGTCATTTACCATTAAGTGTATCTAGATTGCGTGAAAATATTTAACTGATTTTTTTCTTGTTTTGGATATTGAAAAGTTATGTATATTTTAAACAATAACTCATAGGTGTCTTTGCATATACACCAGCATACTGCATATGCAATATATGATGACATAACTACCTGCACAATGCTTTGCATTTCAAAAGCATGCTTTCATCAATGAAAATTAGAAGAAAACAAAATACATCATGAACGTTCAGCCTGAAAATTATGAATGCAAAAATTGTAAAGACAAAAAACCCATAATTGAGTCATAATGTGAAATTACAGTGATCAGACAATTGCTAACATTCCATTTGCTACTAATGCTAATAGCAATTCTCATACAATGTTAAAAACCAATCAAACTCGTAATTTAGATTTGTATGGACAGGTGTAACCATGAACCAATATATGGCTCCATGGAAACCGATCAATACTGGTTCATGCCTGGCATTTCATTGATTTGAACCAGCATACTAGTTGTACCAAGTGGTAGGTTGTTCCCAAACTATGCCAATTCTATTTCTTCAACTAGCAGCCCCCCTCGTTTTTATCAAACCAAAAGAACCCTTTTCCTTTCATTTATTCATTCTCTTGGTGTATCATCAAAAGATTGGATTTCAAGCCAGAGTTGGCATTGTTCTTGAATCAAGGTAAATTTGAAGATATATCTATAATTTCATTGCTTATTTTTCTTTTGAATCAATTTTTTACTTAAATTTGATTCATCTATACGTGATCTTACTATGTTTTGGTGTATCATACATAATTTTATTATCAAACCAAAGGATCCCTTTTCCTTTAATTTATTCATTCTCTTGGTGTATCATCCAAAGATTGGATTTCAAGGCAGAGTTGGCATTGTTCTCAAATCAAGGTAAATTTGAAGATATTCTATAATTTCATTCCTTATTTTTCTTTTGAATCGAATTTTTACTTAAATTTTTATTCATCTACACGTAATCTTACCATGTTTTGCTTGAAGATGCTTTCTTCATTCAATTGAAGCTTGATCTACACATAATTAACATTTTTCCAACAAAGATTACTTGAACATACATAGGATCTGGTCTACATCAGTGTCAGACTATGCTAGATTTTCATGTTTGACCTAAGTTCATGCAAATTCAATCTAGATACATACAGATCTAGGCTACTTCCATCAGGACCGACCTATATATATACAAATTGATGATAGACTTGTGTGGATCTGGTTTATCTCCTCGTAGATGACCAAAATTGAGGCAGATCTGGCCTGCACCCACAACAATCCAAGTGTATGCTAAATTTGTTGTTCATGTAGTATATAGGAATGTGTCAGAAAAGGTTTAGTAAAATACTGATCTAACATGGCAACACATTGATCACTTAGTGCACACCACAAGAATTAACATTTGGTATGAACTACTATGACTTTGTTGCTCATGGTCGAGGAATAAGAAGGCTGAAGTAACATTTTCCTGATGGACATCTTGACATGGGCAAATGCACACCAATCCCTTAAGAAATCAGAAAGACTTTCTAGGTAGAGTGGGAATAGAAAAAATCTCGAGCAGAACAAACATTTGCAGAGGAGCTTGATAGGCAGGCATCTAAGCAGCATGCCTATGATCAGTATGAGTTAACGATGATGTTGTTAATGACCCTGAGATTGCTGTCAACATTTGTAATCTATGAAGCACTATTAAATGTATGAGCAGACGAAGAGGCACAGACATACTTTGCGACCATTCCAATGAGCATAACAGTGGCAATGGTAGCAACTACGTTATTGGACCTTAAATATGGTGCCCATCAGTTTATCAGGATAACCAATACGGGGAGTGGTGCTCCACATTCAAGAACAGTATATGATGAGGTCAATCACATTCCAATCCCTAGCAGGGGGTCCCTTTAAACAAGACATCAATACCATATATGGTTGATATTGACCCCATGGTATAATTCTCAGTGTCAAAACTACTAAGATCAATGATATACTCACGAGAACAAGAATGATAGACAGGCACTCTCATAGTGATTCAATTTTAATTCTCAACCCTCCTTTTGCATCTTCCAACACATTATATATCTATAATGTTCATCTAGAAATACAATTGATAAACAAAGCCTCCAAATCAATATTGCAGAAAGATATCTTGCTGATCAAGTTGGTGAATTCTGCATATGGATAAAATCCTTCAAGATAGCCCTGACCCCGATTACAAAACAAGGAGTTTTGGTTTCCCAAAACCAAGAACCAAACCAAACTGGGCTGTTTTCTGGAATCAGAACTGGAACAGCTGGTTTCGGTTTGAACCGCTAATTTTTTTTAATATTTTTAATATTTTTAATATTTTAATTACGAAATAACCAAAATACCCCTAGAAAATAACAATTATATGTCTATTGGAAGGGACAAATTGGTCATTTGCCCCTCTATCCAAGCGGTGGACCATTGGACCGACCGTTTGAGCCCCAACAATCAATCAAGCCCAACATTGATCGGGCCTTTTTATTTTCTTTTTGAACCATCGGTTCCGGTTTCCCAACCCAAAATTCGAAACTGAACTACTCGGTACCGATTTCGACTCCATTTGGAGCCAGTGAACTGTTGGGCCAGTTCGGTTCTGGTTCCAGATCGATTCAAACCAAGCCGTGGTCTACTTCAAGATGCAACAAGATCTCTATGGTATGATTCTTACATGTGGTAGCTAATCAAAACCCACTAGGGTAATAATCATCAACTTCCTAGCCATGATAGGAAGTCGTGTACCATAAGTCCATTGATTAATCACATCATTGACCCATCAGAGACTATTGTAGATGATATTGGAAATCACACTAAATACTCCAGGTGGCAATGGATAATGGCACCAATTAAGAAATCGATGAATTGATAAATACACATCTAAATCAATTTAGGCCATGTACCATATATCATATCGACCTTATGATCGACATCGATGACATCCCACGTGAAGAAAACAATGGACAAGGCACAAGAAATAATTTGTTTTATCAACAACCATCAACGAGTGTATGCCTCAACGAAAATATTCATAGAAGGGAGATCCTACGAACGAGGGTCACTAAATTTGATCAAGCAAAGAAAGATTGAATCGAATGTTATGTTTATTTCTAGTGATTGGACATGTTCTTGTTATGCTCTCTAAAATGAGCGAAAGTCAATTGAAAAGTGTATATAATCCTCCTCCATATATGTGGTTGAGATTATTATGACTATTGAGCCTATGTAACCGGAAGAGTTGAAATGAAAAAAGGATGAAGATTGGCTATGCTTCCCGCCAAATACACAATCTCACAAGTCACAACAATAAAACATTCAAGTGGCTTTTCCAACAAATGAAATAATCTTTACCTTCATATCATTTTTGGAGATGGGATAATCAAATTTCAAGCGATCTTAATTGTTTTAATCTCTTTATCCATAAAATTATTACATTTTCAATATCAAATGGTGGCTTATTGTCTCTTTTTTGTTTTTTTTGGGTCAAAGTGGCCTATTGTCTGGCAAAAGAAAAGTGCCTAATGTAGCTTACTACCTAAATTTAACATACCAAAATTGATATGACCCTGTCTTGGTGACTTGTTCACTCTTTGCAGGGTCATCATCAGATAGAACCTTAGAACAAAATATAGAAAGTGCAACAGCTACTATTAGTGAGGTGAAGTATCTGATCATGTTAATTTTTATCTCACAGAGATAGTATCAATTGACTTACCCTATTTTTTACCTTTAGGGGCATCTATTTTGATTAGCCTACAACAATCTCAATAAGAATTCAACACAATTTCATATTGATATGACATGGATCCCATAACAACATGACATTTCACATAATACTAAACAAAATGTGTTCCTATAATATGTTTTATAATTGTAATTGTGTAGATGAGTAATGAATTCACGTGAAGGATCTGCACCTCAAAGAAAATTGTCCGATAATTCCTATCACAAATGACACAAACTACGTCATCCAATGGTTGCAAGTATACTTAACCACTTTCTACGTCATACATATTGCAACCACCTTTTATATTGACACTTGGAAAAGAAAGATTTTGGGCACTATTACATGCATAAATGGCTGCATCATATAACCAAGGATAGGACAACGACGAGGCCAAATAAAAACCATTTGACTCATAGTTTGTCACCAATGATTTATATCAAAGTTTCCAATATCCACCCAATACAGTACGGTTCGATACAAGTGGTGAATACCAGTCTAATTGATTATTGACACAGGCAAATCGAGCATTATCCCCATACCCAACTTGTACCCACACATACCATATGGTACAGGACCAGTACTTTTTTTTTACTATGCAGTCTTTTTTAAGTGTTTTTTTATTTCTGAAACTCGGCACATACCGTATGCGAAATTGGAACCCTAGACTTATACCCTTTGATGCATTGAATATGTAGAGCTGAGAAACCAGATTATTATTTGATGAGATGGCAGATTGACCACACCCATCAAAGCTCATTTCTGAACAATTTATAGAGAGAACCAATAAGACGAGATGGCCCAATACGTGAACAATAATAGAATATCTGAACTCAAATTGTAGGGCATGGTTAAGCCTCAAAAATCTCTTCCCTAGGTCATGCTATTGGAAGCTAGTTATAATCATCTATGTACTATTGGAAACTAGTTTTAATCATATACAAGGCGCAGCAAAGCTAGAGGCACATTGCAATCAGTTGACTCATCAGACATCAGTGATGACTAAGAGATCAGAAGGAAAGAAAAGGATGGTAGACTTCTCCCCAAGTTCTAATTGTGAGATCCAAAATGACAATGGCGAACAGATGCAATAATGGTGACCAAAGATCCTATGTTTTTGCTGACAATAGATTGAGCAATCATTTACTCATACCACCCAGGATGAAAAACATGATGATAGTGAATTGTGAGGACGGCAAGACTTCGCTCCATGGTTCCAACCAAGGATTGAAATATCGTACCGTACCGGAGTTTCGACATTCGCTCGGTACGATACTATATATTGAGCGGTATACCGTTCGGTATAAATAAATAAATATATATATATATATATTTATTTATTTATTTATTTATTTATAAAAGGCGATGTCGCCTTTCATAAAAATATTTATACATTATATATATATATATTCCGTCCGGTAATGGGCGATTCGTGTACCGATCAACTGACCGACCGATACGTATCGCTCGGTACGGGCGGTATTATTCAAAACTGTATACCTTGATTCCAACTGTGAGGTCCAAATTGATGATAACAAACAACAGCAATAATGGTGACAAAAGATCCTATGTTTTTGTTGTCCAAAGAGATTGACAATAGATTGAGCAATCATTTATTTGTATGATCCGGGACGAAAAACATGATGCCATATCTACCATTATTATATTAGATAGGCAAGGAAAGTCGAGAAGAAGACAGTTCGTATGGTTAATCACAAAAACACCAGAATCCTTGCCAAGATCTCGTAAAGGAAAAATGAGCCAAGCTAAGTGGTTTGGAACTGTGAATCAATGAAGAGAACCTAAGGCTTCTCCAAAGAATCACTAGGTTTTAGTAATGTATAGATTGCAACTTGAGCTCTTTTACTTGTTTGTAACTGCTACTTCAGATCATATTTGTATTTGTTCCATGTATAGAAATTATTTATCTCTCAAAGTTTCTACCTTCTTCTGACTCATATGAATATCCAAGTTATACTACATGTCTACCACTCAAGCCATATAACATTTTCAAATGTCATGATCATACTCCTAAATCGAGATTACTCCACTTATTAGCTATCAGAAAAAATCCAAGTTTGCTGCATATCCAGATTGGTGGTTAATTTTACATGATAAACAAACCACCAAAAAGTGGGAACAATTGAATCACAATCAAAGGTCCAAAACATTGACATAAGACAACAAACTGATTAGAAAAACAAAATCATATTATTATAGGAATCTGAAATAACTTAACATGTTTTTAGGAGCTTTAACAAATAGATTCTTCATTGTTTGATGCCATACCTCACAATTGAATTTCAGAATTCAGATTATAGTTCACCACTTCACCTTATAGGATGATTATTTTCGAAGCCTAGTTAACTGTGAAAATATAAATCTAGCAATACCAAGAAATATCTAGTGTGGCTAAACCTGGGCTTTGTACTTACAGTTTTGGCAAAGGGAGGCAACAAGCTTGAGGCAGCAATTGCATAAATTGCAAGAAACTCATAGGTATGCTCACTTCACCCTACATGACATGAAACATTAGCACTTAAAAGTCATCATTCTGTAACTTAGCCAATAACATGTAGCATCAAAAATATAATTGCAATCACATACAAAATAGTATCATTAGTAGACTTCAACAAAAATCATCAGTAATATGAACCATGAACCACAGATGATTATATATCTGTTACATATATGTTCCACGTCAATCGCTGCCCATAACTAGATAATATCATTAGGTACAAGCAACCAACATCTTTGCACAGTACAGGCTAATTAGTCAGTATTATGAACAAATAGAAGCCAAATGGCATCCTTTTTTAAGTATTAATAAAAAAATATTAAATGTACTGAATGGAGTTCATCATTCATGTTCTTTTGATAAGGGGAAAAAGATCTGAAATCTCATGAAGATAGTTCAAGATAATATGAAAATACATAGGATGTATGAGTACAAGATAGACATTTTACAACATTTTTAACAATCAAACATGAAAAGTATAGTAAATACTAAATAGTAATCATGTTTTCAAAGTGATATATGAGATCATATCAACAAAAGCAACAGTCCATGACTGGCAGTACATACTTTCAAATTATCTGATGCCAAAATGTAAACGAAAGATAATTATCATATCATTTCATAATTTTATTCTCCCCGCTAGGTAAGTACTCCTCTGCTTGCTTCCAAGTGTGCTAGAGACATAGATAGTATCTATGCAAAGTACAAACACACAGTGAGCAAATGCAATCTAACATTATTACCATGATAATAGTAGTAATAGTCAAGGACTGCTGTACCACCTGAAACAGTATGAAACGATCACCTGGTCCAGTTCAGTAAAAATAATTAAAAAATCAGAAAATAGCAGTGGGGCCCATCCATCTAGGCATTAGAAAAAAAATAAAATCCTATAATAAAAAAATTAGGGCTCGTAAACGCGAACCCTCTTCTCGCATTCAACGCTGCTGCCACTACCATTGCTTTGCAATCCTGCTGCCATCGTCGTTAAGTGACACCACTGCCAACATCATTGCCGCCGCATTTCTTCTTCTTCCTAGATACGCACCTACCTCTTCTCCTCCTCTTCTTTCTTTGTCTTCCTTCTCCTCCACCATTTCCTCTTCTTCCTTCTGCCTTTGTCCTCCTTCCTATTCTATTCCTCCACCGCCTCTTCCTCTCTTCTTTTCCTCTCTAAAACACCAGTACATACCTATGTACCAACACATGGTACACCAGTACTAACTGGTATGTACCAGTAACAGATCACCGAAATTGGTCTGATACCTGAAACAGCGATCTTTGGTAATAGTAACCATAAAAAGATATGGTCAATGGCTTACCGGTATCCTAACTGCATGTGTGACGTCTATACTTGCAGAAGTGATACTGGGTGGCTATTCATATGTGTTATATCAGCCATATAAAAACTTGAGAACTTATATAAAAGAGCAACTTTTTCAACACTTGTAGGCAGTTGATGGGAGAAGAACTTTCTGGTCTAAGTGTCAAGGATCTAGAAAATCTAGAGAACCAACTGGAGATGAGACTCCGTGGTGTTCGAAAGACGAAGGTCATATTTACATTTGCCTTAATGCTGCTTAATGTTACTATTTATCTCATGTATACTTGACTGTGTTGTTCATTTTACAGGAACAACTTCTAATTAATGAAATTCAAGAATTGAATCAGAAGGTATGGCAACCTACTGTCTCTATGATACTCATTGTGTCTGAAGTAATGCAATTTCTACTGTTCTCATTGCAGGGGAGCCTTATTCACCAAGAAAATATGGAGCTTTACCAGAAAATAAACATAATGCATCAAGAAAACAGAGAGTTACACAAGAAGGTATACTAATATCCGAAGAAAATTTGCAATCAAATTGTTTAAACTGGTGATAAACTATAGCACAAAACTAAGCATGTGCCTCCTCAGGTTTATGCACCAACGGAGGAAAATGACCCTAATAGAAATTCAGTTATCCCACATAGTTTTCATATAACAAAGGAAGTAAATGCACTTATTCATCTTGGACTACGCCAACAACATCAGCATGGAGAAGAGTTAAAACTTGGAGCTCCAAAACTAGGGTAATGTTTTTCTTCTAGTATGGATATTTGACATATATCAACTATTAGTTCAATAATACAATGTTTAAAATACCATGCAGCATATTTCAAGTGAAATAAGGAGAGAGAGAACAGATCAAGAATCAGCGTTCATGGTCTTCATCATATTATCCCAAGGTTATAACAGTGTTGTAATTATCCTAAGCTATGGTGACAGCACCATACTATACAATGGCGACAGCAGTACCTATTTATGGTCAACTTTGGCCATTTAATCCTAAATTTTCCTCTAATCATGACGAAATGCGACAAATCTGTTCCCTTTAAACTCAATCAAACTGCACTTGGCTTGATCAGTCCTAGAGTCTAGAGATCCTTCTGTTAATCAAAACAGATCAAACCAAACTGATTTAACATATCAAAGGGATCAGTTGATCCAATTGAAACTCTCATAAGTTTCACCAATTCCAGTAGATGCTAGTGGGTTTCGAATATGATTTGGTGGCAAAACTGTAATAAGACTAGAATATGAAGTGAATCATGTCAGACTTTAATTTTACAAACTTTGCTCTTGATGTTTCAAGGCAGCACCTCTTTATCTTCCATTTATATTTCCTCTTTTTTTTTGGCAAGGAATTCAATCTAGTAAGATCAACCACTCCATGGCCAAGGTAAATTCATAGTAAGTTTCAAGGCACGCACAAGGACATAAATAGCAGATAAACTAGTGAATAACCTGGTAATCAAAGTAAAAGTCCATTTCTGTAAATATAGTCCTGAGCCTTGGGATTTTATAAAATTTTATTATTACTTAATCTTCAAGATAGTATTGCTCATCACTAGTTTTTTTTTAGTTATCTGATTCCATTTGCAGCTAGTTTGAAAACTGAAATAAACATTAAATTATTCACTGGTAGCTATGTTCCATGAAAACACCTAGGTCGATGAAATTACTTCATGACAATAAGTATATCCAACAACTCTTCTCCACAAAAGGTGGTGGAACCATGTAAAGAACAAACAATAATGGCCATAACTTTATATCATATTTTTCTTGAGCCCATTCTCTCTTCAAATTTAATCCCCTATTTCATTTTCTAGTTTGTCCTTCCTATCGTTCTAACTTGCTATTAAGGTTAACGAAATTGTCGTGCACAAATTACGAATTTGAAATCCAGTTAATACAAGAACATGATAGGGGCATGGATGTGAAACCAAGATCAAGGTATTGTACCTTGAGCCAACGAGGCATTTAACAAAGACCATAATTAGGCTAGTGCCATGAATGTCTCAACCATGCTCAATTTTTAAAGTCTTTTCTTTTGATTCATAATATTCTGTTTCTACTAGTCCTATTCGGTTCACAATTATCTGTACCTTTGTATAACAGAAAGCCTAACAAAAGCTACAATGATGTAGAATTCTTGTAGCTATGATAATTGACCATACTCTACAGGCACAACCTGCTAACCGTATATAAACAGAACCATAGTGATTTTTGCATAAAACAGAGATACAGTCTTCCAGATTTTCAGGGTCACAAACCAAGATACTATTGGCACAACTTACAAATATTATCAACAAGTCTTAAAAGAATATTAATATACCACAGAACTTCTTGCAGATTATGCAGCTACTACCTCAAGCTTGTTGCCTCCTTCTGCAATAACTAGTGAAACAAACCACAAATCAGATACATGTGAAATACAAATAAAACTTGATCGATATTTGACTTGGTTAAGAGTTAAGGCAACAAAAGAATCAAAGCTACTTACTAATTGATGTGTGGCCTATGATTGTTGAGCACACTATAACAATACAACTAAACAAGAAAATATATTACAATCACAGGCATTTGTGACAACTGTCAGCAACAACAGCACGTCACACGACAAGACATAAAGCCCCAACAACAGCAAGCAACCCATATTGTACCAAAATTTGTGAGAATTAAGAAATACCAAAATCTTATTGCTATTTGGATCTCCAATGTGCCCTCAATCTATGCCTTCCCAAATTTTGCATACCGCTCGGTGTTTACCAGCCCAAGCAAGGATCAGTACCAAACCATATGATCAGGCACCGACCAGTACTACTTTTTAATATTTGCTTTAGCTGATATTGATGGCACGAGTTGATATTCCGCCCAGTATACTGATATCTTTCTGGTCCGTTAGATTATTGAAATTGGTATCAGAATAATTATTAAAATAACTATAAACCAAAATTCGATGCATATTATAAAAATATTTTTAATTTAGCAAATGAAAGGCTAAATATTTTTCTACCTGAAACTGTGAAGACAGTGATGAACCATATTATAACCCCAATGCTTCTCTAATCATCATAAGGGAAAAGTCCTAGGTAATGTGTTGAGAAGCAAAGAAAACCTTTATTTGAAATGAGTCCACAGAGATTGTGATTAATTATGAATCAACCCTATAGTCAAGGATTAAAAACAGATCTAACTAGATGGTACTGATTAATATTTACTAGTCCAACCACGTTTTGACACCGAGCCAAATTGCCTAGTCCAGTTCAAAACCAGGCTTGCAATCTGATTTTAATGATTAAAACCATGGCAGCCGGGTGGCAGCCAGGCAGCAGACTATATTTTTTTAATTAGTCCTCCTCTTTGTCATCTCAGTGTCGCCAAACAGCTACATCATCATCACCATCACTGGTTCCACCTTGGCCTCTGGTATTTATCATCCTTCTCACCTCTTCCTCTACCTGTCCTCCTCTTCCCGTCTCCTCCTCTACCTCCCTTTTCTCCTCCATCTTTTCCTCCCCCTCCATCAGTCCTTGTCTCTCTCCCCCCTCAACCTCCTCTGTACTCTCCACTTTTCTCTTGGTACGTTTAACACCGGCCCATATCGAGTTTCGATAAATCGATCCATACAGGTTCTGTCATCAACCAGTATCTTCAATCACCAATGAGAGTTTAAAGATCTAGGATGATCAAAAGAGAAGTGATAAAATGAAAAGCTTTTCAAAAATATACATGAAATATATTCCAATACATATTTATACATGTACACAAGCAAGACCATTCTATATTGCTCAAAATCCTAAAATGAATTTATTTTAAAAATGTAGAATGTTTAGTGCAAAAGTCAAGATGTTTCCTAAGTTACCTTTCAAATTCAAATAGATTTTAAAGTTCACTTATTTTCTTTGTTTCATGGTAAATCTGAATTATCAACTCCAATAATTACTCACATTTACAAAAATAAAGAAATCTAATATGATTCATCAATCAATCATAAATATGGGAATTTAAAAGGGTCCTTCAGCATTTCATCAAAAGAGATCATTTGGTAACAAAAAAAAGAAAGCCCTATATGCAATTATATTTTCCCAAATTATGGTCTCCATTATAAGTCTTATCTATTTATCAATTTCACTAAATTGCTTAATTTGATCAACTTATATTGATTATTTGGACATAAAGCAAAAAAATGAGCCTTATGCTTAGGAGGTTAACTTATATTGGACAGGAACTAGATATGTTAAAACATGTTCTGTAATAATACTCTTTTAGTACTATACATATAACATAGATTAAGTAAAGCTCAAGAAGAAAACTGTACCTTCTATATTCTACTATATAAGAACAATAGCAATAAGGTATGCACCTTTAAAAGTCTTTCACTTGTTATTGAAAATTATATTCCAAAATTCAAGACATACTCTAAAAGATTATCGACAAGTAGAGCATGAAACCAAAAGTTTTTGTTTCAAAGAATTCAAATAATAAGTCCTACAACAGTTTGTTGAGTGGGGGGTCTGTCACATTTTTAGAGAAGGGAACCAAAGTGTGCACTGGCTTGCATCTTTTACCAAGCTCTCCAAATCTGATTTGATCTGGAGGGGAAACTGGCATCCTAATCTGATATCAATTTTATTCTGAGGAGCAAGGCTTACATTGTACTAGAATTTTGAAGTAATAAATATCTATTTTCCTTTCGAAAAAGAAAAAACAAATCATCATTAATTTATAATGGCAAATATACAGATTAAGCAAAATCGACTGCCCATATTTATGGATCTTTTTTTTTTCCTCCAAGAATGATGTACTATGGTTTCTCAACCTTCGGCCAGCATCCTCTACTGTCATGACCCAACTAAACCAGAATAGCAACCCTACTTACGAGGATATCTGACCCATTTTTTGTGGAGTATAGCTCAAAAATGCTTTATCTCAAATTAACCAGAGTTCATCCACCAAGCACTTATATATCAATTCAAGTGTTTATCCACTTTGGATATAGGACTAAATTCTGAGATGTTATAGTCTCCCACTTGAGGTCTTTATGTCCTCTTTTAATGACCAACATGACCTATAATCAAGCCCTAACATAGTGCACATGTGAACCAACCTAGTAGCTCCACGTTGTGACGTGCCCTCTAATTCCGTCCACGAGTAGCCCTTTGCTATTAGAAACTCTTATCATGCCCAATACTAGACTAGATCTAAGACCAATTGTCACGACCCATTAACCCATTTACTTTGTTGAGTTTAAACATTTGGCCCAAAATGCTTTAACTCCACCCATTGACGGAAGACCCATCAAGCCCTTATAAAAAATTCAAGTTTTTAGCCACTACTAATGTGGGACTAAATTCTAGGGTATTACCTCTACTCTGGGAGTTAAGAAATACCTTATAAGGATAATTAAAGTAAGAAAAGAGTTTTCTATACAAATAGAATAGTTAGAAGCTTGACAGACTCATAAAGGCTTAATGATCTAGGCAATGATTTAAAAAGGCGCTCGGGCGCTCGCCTAGGCGCTTAGGCGAGGCGAGGCTCGAGCGCCTCGTTTAAGGGCCAGGTGACGTGCTTCAAAGACGCTTCACCTGGAAGCTCGCCCAAGCCCAAGTGTCGAGCGCTTCGGGCAAGCACTTAGTTCAATTAAGCGAACCGAACCAGACTTTTAAGTTTGGCTTGGTTAAATAACGTAGTTTGTTACCTCAAAAGCCACCCTTCACACTAGCGCGACCCCAAGGAACCCTAGCACTACTTCTGCCTCCGCCGTCGATGCTTTCTATCGCTATCTCCGCTGCAAACGCAACTGACCGAGCCTTCCTCTGTCACCGACGGACGAGTTCGACGACCCCCATAGCTTCTTTCCGCTATCACTCCGTGTGCAGTTCCTTCCACTATCGAGGGAGTGGACCATAAGTTCCTTTGCCACCGACATCGCCCTCTTTCACCACTGCCACTACTACTTTCCACAACTTTCGCCATTGTCGTCTGCAACTTCCGTCGTTGTCGCTGCTGCTGTCCACAGCTTTTGCTGGTGTCACTATTGTTGTTCGCAGTTTCTGCCGCTACACTGCTACTATTCGCAACTTCCGCCACTGTTGTTGCCATCGTTCGCAGCGTTGCCGCAACAATCTTAAACTAATCCTTTGTTACTGTTAACATTTTTTCTCCCCTCTAACTACTTTAACAGTAAGTAATATATTGTTAACAGTATATTTTTAATTTAATATCATTTTTTATTTTAATAATTATATTTTTATTGTATTATATATATTTTATATTTTAATATTTCAGAGTGCCTCGCTTCGCTCGGGCAAACGCCTAGCGCCTCAACCGTTTTGGGGCCTTGGCGCCTAGCGCTTTTAAAATCACTGGATCTAGGAAATTTAAGCTCGCAGCCTCGCAAAAGGTGAACTTTACAAGACAAGACTTGGCACCATAGTACGTGGTAAGGTTGCTTCTTTACAAACTATGCGACAAAGGTGCAAGTGCTAGAAACAAGTTTCTTGTTTGCTAGGATAACCAAATCCCACATCAGTGCATGAACTCGAAAAAGGAGAAATTTGTGCACTGGGCCACTCTATTTTCGTAGTCAGCAAATAACTTTCAAAGATTCTGTTTCAGCTGGAAAGTGTTCAATTAAGTGGCAAAGCAAGACGAGCTGCAAATAACATTCCATGAGGAACATACGATCTCTAGTTATGATGTTCATTCCTCATCAACTAACAATTAGAAGCAATTCATAACACAAAATTGTTGGTATAAAACGCATTAGGCATTCTATTATGAGATAACATATGAAGTAGTCATTTCCAACATAAAATTTTTGACTAGAGCATTAACCTTGTTCTGCCTACAACAGACTAACTTCTAACCAAGCAATAAAAGTGTATTTCTAACATATAAACTAAAAACATAAGATCATCACAGACACTTCAACTACAAAAGGATGCATGCATGCGATACCATCCACATTTCAAGAACACCAATCTAATACCAATGAAAATCTAAGGTACACTATGTTTCCAAATCATCAAAGTTGAGATTTTATTAATGACAAATACACTAACTCGGTAATAAAAGCTGATATCAGAAGCAACCTATAGTTCCGTTATATAATGCATAAAAAATAGCAGTAAGTCATTGATATGTGTCCACGAAAGGCCATCATGACCATTTGAAATCTGTGTCACACTAACAAAAGTGGCAGTTGGTACACCCCAAGTACAACAATTGCATGCTTTGAAGACGCAGACATATTCTACATCGAAATCAGTAATAATCGAACCCCATACTCCAAAGTTAAACTTAAAATAAATTATTGATTCAAATAGCCCGTACAAGTATGTAAAAACAGGTACTCCTAACTAACCAACACCAAACTACCTGTGTGCCCAAATCCTATGGTTCATTACCGAGAATGATGGTCCGCAGTTTCTTAAACTACCATTATCACCCTTGTGCTTGGGACAAAAGAACATCCTATGAACAAAAGTGAAGCAAGAAAAAAGTCGTGTTAAAGCAGAAAAGCTAGTTGCTTGAACCAGCTTTGCAAAATTCAGTTGCGGCCAGAAAGAGTGTGGAAAAGTGTCATAGGAAAACAAGTTGTGAAGAACTTAAGATGTGTTTTTTTTTTTTCCTCAACAAATTATGATCTATTACAAATATATTGGCTCAAAAGCCATCAAACAACATGTTATGTGTAACCATATTCAAAAGCTGTTTGCAAGACAAACAAGTTCAAGTAATGCAGCACTCCTTACCACAGAAAACAAATACTTGACAAAGTGACAGACCCCTCGACCAAAAACACGGAAACACCCAGATTATAACCCTCATTTTCACGAAAGCCAATCTCTGATGCCCACGGGAACCTAAACACTGGCACATTTGTGAATGACCAAGGTTGGGATCTCCGTCAACTCTAAATCTTTGCAGATACCGAAACAAAACTCAAAAATAAAAGAGGAAACCTTATCAAGATCGATCCGTGGGGAACCTTCGATTTAGCAAATCGAACCGAACGAGAAAAAAGAATCAATGTTCAGATCGATCAGATCAAGCAAAACAGAACTTACGTTGGTGAATTACCTGATATCCTATCGTCGCTCCAAGTTAGGGCAACGCTCGCTCTCTCACTCTCGGGGGCGAAGTCAGGGAGCAGAATAAATATACTTGGAGATGTGCAATAAAGTTTCCCTAGAAATAAACAAAGGGGCCGTAGCTCAATAAATGGGCCATTGTCGCTTTTCATCGGTGGGGGATTCGATCCCCAGCCGCGTCGGTACATATATTCTATGTATGACAATAGCGGTTTGGTTTGGTCCACGTCGCTGTCTAGGATCCCCACTTGCTGTTTAGAGTCTTAAAGCCTTTATTTATTGGCCACTGCGTACGGTGGAGCACCAAAAGCCATGCTCGCCAAGCAACGTGAGCAGGCACTCGCGGTTTTCCGACGCCATCCGTCTCTGTGGGCAGCAGCCAACGCACCTGCCTTCTGATTGGAGAGATCATCGTCGCACGACGGGGTCCCACGTGGTCTCCACCACCACGTCGATCGCGAGGCGTCGGCACCACTAATCATTCCGTTGCCGCTACATCTCCGTTGGCGCCCACCTTTCCGCTGCGGGTTATTTGAACTTAGCAGCACAATGCGGAGGTGCGAATGACTCTGCTGTTTAGCTTGGATTACCAAGTTTTGACTTGGAAGCGTTTCATTTTATATATTGGATTTTTATTTTATTTTATTATGATGCTTACTTCGTGATTCGAAGGGCTGTTGGATTTTAAGTCCACTGTCGGAAACTCTCGTGTACTACTTCGGTAACACTACCCAATGCAGCGATAGTGTATAGCATCGAGAGACGGTGCACCGATGGATACGTGATACTTCCAGTTCTTTATGCCTCGAATTCTGACACCTTTAATGGAATAGACACTATAATATGTGCTCATTGCCAAATGACGTATCTCTTATTATGTATGAGAAACTCTGATCCACAACATCAATCTAGAGTGATCCAATGATAAAAATTCTTTATGCTTGCACATGGATCTTAAATTTTATATTACGTCGCCTGGTGCCTCATTCTGTTCTTGTATTGTTCCATAAAAGAACACGAAGGCAACTTACAGTTGTGAATCGGACTCGACATGATTAATGGTCGCCGAGATTGCAAAACATCGCAACCGGATCCGATCGGATGATATAAATATACTGCATAAAGGTTGGCTCGCGCACGACTTAACAAGCCGAGGTGTAAGAGAGACCGGAGACTGCTAGAGCATTCTCGAAAGGAGATGGCACAGCACATGTCGACTAGAAAAAGAGAGACTACTCCCACTTGGGAGAAGAGTGGATCAAAGATTAACGGTGACAGCGGCACATAATGCGGTTGTGTACAGCAGCATATCTGAAAAAGGTCGCCACTCTGGCAAATCATTATTAGTACGTACATACAAAAAAGCCCAAGTGGATCCAAATTATTGTGCATGCTGGTAAGGAGAACACGTGATATGAGTGTCGATCACGTGGTTCCTCCTCTTCGGCCTTTTTTCTTTGAGCATTTTATTAAAAAAAACGCTCCTTTTTATCGGGAGTTATTAAAAAAATATAATATTTATTTTTTTACTAAAATAATTTGTTCCCATATATTATTTAAAAAATCTTTAATTTTAATAATTAATTATTATAAAAATTTTAAAAATATTAAAAAAAATGATACTAATCATCTTAGAATCACTTCAAATTATTTTAGTTAAGGTTTGAGGGTATTTCCGTTTAAAAAAAAAAAAAAAACATTCCCCGATAAAAATGAATATGAGAGACATCAATCATTCGATAAAAAAGCAATGATAAGAAATTTTTTTTGATAAAACGCCCTCCCTGCTGATTGAAACAAACTGCATCGATGTCACAAGACAAAATAGAAATAAAGAAAGTGTTTAGACCAGAAGATTTTAGCCGAGACTTTCGGTGATCAAAACATATTTCGGTTAACCAAGGGAAGGTTTTTATTTCAGACAAATGGATAGTTGTAGACAGGGTTTGTTTAGTCAACGACCAAAGTGTAAACTCATTGATTGGGGAAAGTGACTGAAGGTGGTGCCTCGAAAGGCAAAGATTAAAAGCAACAAGAAAACACAGCAAGTGTCGTGTATGCACTACATAATAAAGTATACAAAACATTTATACAATTCGAGTCAAGCCTAATCTAGCTCAACTACATGAAAGCTCCAGCATCATACTAATTCCGAATTCAGACTCAGCATACTTACATTTCTGTTGATCGTGTTTGAGCTGGGAACCGGGCCAACCTCGCCCTGTTTACAAATAACTTTGATTCATTTATCCGCCCCCGTGTATCAGGAAGATGGCCAAACACTCAATTTCCTTGGATCAAACGAATCCCTGCCCCCAGCATGCTCGTCTGGAGCACGACCAAGTAAGCCCATCAAAATTCACATGCACGAGCATTTGACAAAAATGAAACAAATATCAGCAAATATGAGACGCAATTTCAAAAAGAATCAACCACATAAATCTATCGTCGCGCGGAGCGCTGCTCCCGGTGCGATGATCGATTTACGGTGATGGTGGTTGAGGTGGTGGCAGCGGTTGTGGCGGTGGCAGAGGTTGAGGCGGAGTTCACGGTAGAGGAAGATTCACCGGAAGAGTAGACGGAGCCGCGGGTTCCATCGAATCTTGGATAACTGAATGCAGGGGTCCCAGGCCTGGTGGGCTCCTCGAGTGTTCTTGGCTTCTTGGAGAGAACGATCACGACACGCTTCATGTCTGGCCGCTGCTTGGGGTCAGACTGGACGCAGAGCAGCCCGAGCTGAACACACAATGCGACTTGCTCTGCGTCCGCCGTCGATTTCAGAGCAGGATCCAGCAGCTCCAGACTCCGTCCCTCGTTGTAAAGCTTCCAAGCCTGTGAATGTAAGCATTTGATACAAGTCAACGGGACAACATCCTACTCTTAAGTGTAGGATAAATTAAAATAGGTTAAATATGTAGAAATTGAGATAGAAAATTTAAAAGAGGAACTCGGAGACGTGCAAACACTGTCTTAAGTGTATTCTTTGACCTAGTGTAAATATCTTACACTGTCTTAAGCGTATTCTTTGACCTGGTGTAAGTATCATCGAGGAGTTATCCAAGATATAACCAAATGAATCTTCCATGAGTGTGATCGTGAAAAATCTAAAGACTTTTCACATCAAAGGTATTAATGAATGCACATTATTAATAGCCAGCACTGCGACGGTACGCTCTCGCGTGATGCACACCCGCGCTGTGCGTGGGCATGCGTCGCGTGGGCGCACGTGAACGTCACGCTCACACATGACGCACACAACACGTGAGCAGTAACTGTGCAACGACGATTAATTAATATAGTTGGGATAAATAGCTAATTTTATAATTATTTAACATGATACAAAATAAATTAAATATGCTTTGAAGAGAGAGTAAGGAAATTGAGAGAGAAGTCTCCCAACTGTCCATGTAATCCCTGAACATGAAAAGGAATTCGGGTTTTTTTCTTTTTTAAGTTCCAACAGCAAGGAGACAGTGGACGTACCCATTCAAGAAGGCTGCTCGCTTCCGGGTCGGAGATTCGAGCAAACGCGGAGTTCTTCAGGCCCGAGATGAGCTCGAGGACCACGACGCCGAAGCTGAAGACGTCGACCTTGGTGGAGAGCGAGCCGCGCATGACGTACTCCGGCGCCATGTAGCCGTTGGTGCCGACGACGCGGGTCTTGACATTACTCTGGTCCTCGGGGAAGAGCCGGGCCAATCCGAAGTCGGCGATCTTGGGGACCCACCCGCCGTCCAACAGGATGTTGCTGGCCTTGATGTCGCGGTGTATGATGGTGGTGTGCGCGTCTTCGTGCAGGTACAGCAGCCCCCGGGCCACCCCAGCTATCACCTGGAACCTTCGCCTCCAGTCCAACTGCATCCTCTTCCAGTTACCCTCTTCTTCTGCGATCCCATCGAGAAGCAAATGTTTACGCAAACAGCAACACCAAAAAATTTTAGCTATCATCGTAAACAAGATGCTCTGCAATATAGTAACAAGATTTATTCCACCGAACACTTGTATTCTAGATCGACTCGGCATTCAGATACTGTCAGATGTGATACATGATGCATACGCGGAAGAAAGATCCCTTGTTGCCGGTCTACGCTACAGAGACATCTGGACTCTGATGTTTCCGACCATAATGAGGTTGATGGTAAGAAACCATAGATTATAATTGACTATCAGATGGCAGAGGTGGTAGTCAAATCTGACGAGTGCTACTTTTCCTTAGGACTCTTCCATTGACCGCATGGACATAAGACGAATCCAACTTTTCTTCTTATCTGACCAAGTAAATGTTAATCATTCCATAACATAGAAAACGTAAAGGTTTTGATACATTTCAATCGGTCCTTTCAATCACATATTCTAGTTCTAATATGGACCAGGAAGCATCGCAGAAAATCCGCTTGTGTGGGAATGCAACAAACAACGGATTAGATTATTACGACTTGATCCGCTTGCCTGACAGGAACCTTTCACTTAGAAACGTCTCTTCCGAAGGGAGGGGGGCGACGAGGTCAAGTACCCATTGGCCAAATAAAACTCCCATCACATCAATGCCATTAGGCAAATGTTACCTTTTGCCGACTTCTGTTTATACAAATTATACATTGAGAAAAAAGGACTCCCGTCAAAATCGACGCCGTCGTTTTGTGTTGCCGATCAGATCCAGCGGGGATAACATGGTTTCCAGAATGTACAACATCCGTGTCTAAATGTACAGTTTCCTTTTCCCCAGCTACGAACTTTGCGATGACAAGAAAACAGGCGTCGGGGCACCTATGGTAACTGGCCGAACCTTAAATGACCCATTGATGACCCATTTAAAGAATTATACTTGATCAAAAATACCTATCTTTACCAGACTAAACTTTTATGGGTATCGTAACACCATTTTTAAATGGTGGAAAATTGGATCACTCAAGAAGCATTTTAAAATTTGACCACAATTATTGGAAACTGACACTCCTAAAAGGGCTCCGATGATTGGCTGCACCCAGCGTGGTTATCCTGTTGAGATGGATTTGTGCTTCTCTTCGTGGAACCTCAACATGAAGGTAAAATTCCAAGATCTTTTGGGGCTCACCGTATGCGAGTCGCAACAATAAGCACCAGC